TGGGAATGCAAATTGGTGCAGCCACTCCGGAAAACAACAGAGTTTCCTCAAAAAGTTAAAAATAGAAATACCCTATGAGAAGCAATCACATGATGAGGTATTTACTCACAGCATATAAACACTAGTCCAAAGGAATACATCCAGCCCTATGTTTATTGCAGCATTATTTACAATAGCCAAGATATGGAAGCAGCCCAAAATTCCATTTATTGATGTGTGAATAAAGATGTATCGTGTGTGTGTGTGTGTGTGTGTGTGTGTGTGTGTGTGTGTAATGGAATACTATTTGGCCATAAGAAAGAATGAAATCTTGACATTTGCAACAACATGGAACTAGAGAGTATAATGCTAGGCGAAATAAGTCACTAAGAGAAAGACAAATACCATATGATTTCACATGTTTGTGGAATTTAAGGAACAAAACAAACAAGCAGAAGAAAAAAGAGAAAAAGAGAGAGAGAGCATGAGAGCAAGAAATAGACTCTCAACTGGAAAACAAACTGCTGTTTGTGGGAGGGGAGGTGGCAGGAGGATGGGTGAAATAGGTGATGTGGATTAAGAAGTGCACTTGAGATGAGCACAGAGTGATTAAATAAATCTTTAGGGGCAGCCTGGGTGGCTCAGTGGTTTAGCACTGCCTTTAGCCCAGGGCATGATCCTGGAGACCCAGGATCGAGTTCCTCTTTGGGCTCTCTGCATGAAGCCTGCTTGTGTCTCTGCCTCTTTCTCTCTTTCTGTGTCTCTCATGAATAAATAAATAAAATCTTAAAAAGAAAAAAAACAAAAAAAGAAAAAGCCTACTAATTTTTCTCTTGCTTTCAAGATTGTATTCATTTCTTCAATAATGACATAGATTTATATGATGACTTACTCTACTATAATTGTAAATGATACCATGAGTGTACTTGTGATTCTTAGTTTTCAACCTAAAGGGCTCAAGGCTGGCATCCAAAAGTTTAGTTATTGTAAGTCACATCATTCATTATATCCTCGAGGTGTCAAATTATAAATTTCACTTATGTTAATAGAAATCCATCTGAAACTATAAAAGTACAAAAGTTGCACATGTATGTATGTATTTGCACATACATACACACATGTACAAAAATTTATTAAGTATATAAAGTCAAATCCAATATATAAGCCATCACAGAACAAGAAGAGGGATCAATGCTAAAATATAAAAATTGTCAAAATTGACAAAAGAAGAACAAATTACTATAGCAGAAAATTTTAAAGTTGTCCTGGAATGACTTCTAGAAAGCTGCTGGATCTAGCTGTTTTTGTGAACGTTTTTTTAAACCTTCTAGATATAAATAATTGCCAAGGTATCTGAATTATTGCAGAGTACCACGAAAGAAAAAGATTTTTCTAATTCATTTCAAGAGGTTAGCATATTCTTGATCTGAAAACCTGGCAAATAAAAGATAAAATGTAGAAATCTATAAAGCAATTTTGCTATTAATAAAGTGGCTAAAATTATAAGTAAATCTTAGAAAACTGAATACAGTAGCATAGCAAAAGAATACTATACACTAAGTAATTGCCAACAATTAGTCTTGTCCCCTCATCATTCACATGCCAAACATAATCCCATCATTAATGCCTCTCATCCCAGTAGTGTTGCTTAAGGAAGAGGAGTAAATAGGGGGAGGACATGGGTAATTTGGAAAAAGAAATGTGCTTACTGTGTCAGTCTGCAAGAGGAGCCAGTGTCCCATGGGGGCTAGGAAATAAAATGTTTTAAATAATTCTATTTTCCCCTCTTCTTTCCTGAATTTCCTAGATGCTTTGAAATACGCATATTTCATTTATAATCCTAAAAAAATCAATCAGAAATACTGAGAAGGAAAGCAAATATGAAACAAACAAAAAATAACATCATAAATTTTCCTGAGTGAGGACAAGACTGGTACAGTTTTTAAAATGTGAAACCAACCAAATTTGAACTGAAGCCTTTTTTTTATTCCCATAGGTATTCCTATTTTGGTGTGGTCATTCTTCAAGGCTCCAAAAACCTTCAAAATGCATTCAAATTAAGACTGTCTTCAAAATTTAAGCTGCTAACCAGTGCTCTCTGAAGTTTTTGGAAAGGTAAGATCTGATGTCTTATTCTAAGATCAGTTTAGACTGAGTTAATTTTGTTACCACCAACTGCAGCCAGTTTATGAGTGCTCCCCTCGACTTATAACAGTATTGGCCAAGGTTAAGGTCATTTAGACACCGTAATTACAGATTCTGGTTATTATTCTAAGGGTCTTCTTTATTACAGAAAGACATAACATATGAGTAATGTGTTCACAGTTCAAGCCAATGAAAATTGGAATTTGTTTAAAACTATAGGAGTACCTGTTAAGTTAAATTAGTATAAGTCAAAGATTATTTATAGTAAACCTCAATTTTATGGAGTATAGAGACACAATTTTAGTAATTATGGAGATGTATAATTTATATAATTATAATGTATATGTGTGTTATGAGCTGAATTATGTCTCCCTCAAATTCATATGTTAAAATCCTAACATCTAATACCTCAGAATATGAATGCATTTGGAGACAGGACCCTTAAAATTAAGTTAAAATGAAATCATTGTGGTGGTCCCTATCCCCGCTATTACTGGTGTCCTTATAAGAAGAAAACATTTGGATACAAACATACACAGGAAAGACCATATGAAGAGATAGGGAGAAGATGACCTTGGACACACTAAGGAGAGAGGCTTCAGGAGAAACCAACACCACTGACACCCTAATCTCACACTTTCAGCCTCAAGAACTGTGAGAAAATAAATTTTTGTTATTTAAACCACTCAGTCTATGATACTTTACTATGGTAGTCCTGGCAAGCTAATATGTGTGTAATGTGAAATATAATTGTCACTTCTGTCAACTAGAGTCACCCTTACCACATAATATTTCATTTCGGAAACTGAAAAGCCTAAGATTCTTCCCCAGACTCTTGGAAGATCTTAGGGACTAGTGTCCTTCTAGCTTCAGCCTCCTGCCTCTCCTCAGTAACTTCAGTTCAGATGTCATTTCCAAACTCCAATTTATCCTCTGCTAAACTAGAGTGGACCTCAGGTTTCTCCATTAATTTCCATCAAAACAAAGTAAAGTAAAATACTAACAACAATCAAAATCAAAAGTAAAAATCGTAACATAGCTTACTTTAGATCCCAGAAATGCAAAGAACTTAAAATTGAACATTAGCTATTTCTGCTCTAACATAGTCCCTTAGCCATTTGCACAAGTGGGAAATCCAGATTCCCACCATGTTCTAATGTTATAATTCTTATTCTCCCTCCCCTTTTCTCCTTCTCTTCCTCCCCCACTACCTCCTTCTCCTTTCCACTTCTGTCTCTCCTTCTCCTTCTCTCCATTCATTCTCGATATACCCTGATCTTTTCTACTATTTTCTTGGCTCTTGCGCCATTTCCAGCAGTTTGGCGATCACTTTTTAGGAGTTTGACTTATGTTATTAAGATCCCTTTTTCTACTTCAAGTAGCTAATCTAACTATTTTCAAAGACAACCCCTTCCTCAGAGAAATCCTGGAGCCAGCCATTAAAGTAATACAGTTTTATCCCAGGTACATTATATTTAGTCAAGTTTCTGTAAAGAGTGAAGGTAACTTTTCAATTTTTTTTCATTCTGACCTAAAAATGATTAACATTAACTATTTAACATCATCTAATATCAGTTCATTACTCTTCTATATAATCTCTAAATTGCCTTAGATCTAAAACCACCATTAAACCTGTTGGAAATTATTTTAAAATTTTGCAATCTCATTGGAACTTTAAACCACACATATGATCTCAGAACCTTATTTGTTAAACTGTCAACTGTTTCATTCAGCAAATGATTTAAATAATGATTTCAAAGTGGAGGATTTAAAAACTAGAACCTTCTACACTTGTCACATTTTATAAGGAACGTAGGAATGATGGCTCCATTTTACCTTTATTCAAAAGATCTTCCGCACAATTAATATGTATTGATGTAAGTTGCGTGATTTGAGGAATGTCAGTTTATGGTTTGAGGAAGAAAATGAAAATAAATTCTGGTTCATAATCACTTCTTAGCAAACAGGCTACTACTGCCATCTGGGGGAGGTTCTTTCTGCTTCATTTAAGAAAACCAAATGTGCTTGTCAGATGAATGAAATCGGTTCATGTTTTCCTTGTTATATCCACAGGAAGACTTTTTAACTTTCTGCCCATGAAGTCATAAGGCATTCCAGATGTCTCCCAGATTCCTTCACACAGAAATACATACTTTACAGACTTTTGAGAGGTATAGGAGAAGATGAACCAGAATATAACCATACTAAGGTTTCTACCTCTTACACACTAGAAAGGTATTTGGAGAAGTATGGGTTATATAGAAAAAAAAATTAAAGCTTTCAATAACAAAATGAAACCCCAATTTTAAGCAAAACATATTTGGCCTCAATTTACAGTTAGTTGCACACCTTTTCTGAAATGTGCTATCATTAATTGATATAGAAACTACATGTGTAGATATGAGTATGTTTGTGATTACATCAGTTAGGAAAAGATAAATTCAATTCCATAGAAATAGCCAAGAGTTTTCTTCTAGAATTTATGAAATACTGTTATGAACTCAATATCTATTTATTGCATGTATGTTGTATATCTATTTGTTGAAACTTTTGATGAAATAAATGAGGAACTTTCCATCATTCACAATGGAAAAAATTGTGACCATTGCTTTTGAATGTTTAGTTTGTGTTTAATAGTTGTCAATCTTGCATTTCTTTATGCTATAGATAAGTTGTTACCTATCAGCAATGCCTTAAAATAAACAATTTAATCTTAGAAATAAGGTTTCAGGAAGTACCCTGCTGAAATGACCAGGCTGTCAGGTGACAAAAGAAAAAAAAAGAAAGTTAGTGCTGATTAAAGGAAGACAACTAATCATTTATAGAGAGGATTCTGGTAATAGATTAACTAAATAAAATGCATACAGTATCAGTCCCAGAGTGGTACGGTAATACTGTCAGAAGGTTAAAGTTCATACCAAAGAACAACTATACTAGCTCCGGGAAAGTCTTTGTTGAAATGTATTTTGAAGATTGGAAAAGGTAGGTGACATACAGCAAGTATACTGGGATTCTGTGATTATTATTTTTTTAATCATGCATTTGCTTCAGGAGTAAAAAGAAATCTAAGTGACTGTGGTTCAGCTGACACAGCTGAGTGAGCTGGGTGAACTGGGGTCACCTTGAGGGACGCCAAAAATGAATGTCTCTTGTGTGGGAGTGTGAATTTCCTTCAAAATGTTCATATTAGAGTCTAAGGAGGTTGGGGTGAGGAATATTAGAGGACAAGAAAGGCCAGAGGTACATAAAACTGAATAATAGAAGTACAAGTTATAAGCAGAAATAATAAATATGCAATTTTAATTAAATGTCCTTACTTCTGAATCAGCAGGTTGAGTTAATTTGGCAATTGGCCTATAGCTCTGCCTTACTGATCTAATGAAAATGACCAATGACCTTAAAACGCTTATGTTCTGCACAAAAGATTACCTCCAACTTAGGGGTGTTGTAAATGGGATAGATTCTCCTCCCTCCTAACTGAACTACACAATGTGTTGGGTTTTACTTCCTTTATTCAAAAGCCAATAAGTTACTATGATAGACCATGGAAATTTTTTTTAATTATTTCATAACAAAAATTATAAGCAGTTCTCACTTTCTTTTTTTTTAATTTTTTATTTATTTATTTATGATAGTCACAGAGAGAGAGAGAGAGAGAGAGAGAGAGAGAGAGAGGCAGAGACATAGGCAGAGGGAAAAGCAGGCTCCATGCACCGGGAACACGATATGGGATTCGATCCCGGGTCTCCAGGATCGCGCCCTGAGCCAAAGGCAGGCGCCAAACCGCTGCGCCACCCAGGGATCCCAGCAGTTCTCACTTTCATCAGAATGTTGCCTGGTTCTAAAAAAAAAATAGTAAACAAAAACAGAAATCTTCTTTAACAGTATTCATGTTTCATAGGAGACAATCAGGAAGTCAAGAAAATTTTTTGCAGATGCCATTTGTGTATTCCAGGGGTAGAGAGGTGGGGAGGAGGGGGTGTTATTTAAAATGCAAGAAAGATCCATTACTTCCACTCTTCTGTTCCTACTTCTCCAAGAATGATTGATTTTCAAATACTGCTGCTAGCCTTGTTAATGAATTTAGAAACGTCAGCACCCATTGCTAAACTGACTCACCTACCACACAGATGAGTTAACATATTTCTCCTAAACATGGTTTACATTATCTTCATGTAATTTGGGTTTTTTTTTCCCTTCATTTTCCTGCAATTATTGCTTCCTCATTTCTTCCTTATCTGTATTTGACTTCTCTCTCTCTTCCCCCATTGTAAACTACCAATATTATTTCAATCTTCCACTGTCACTGGGGTGTCTACACTTTAGAGGAATGCCCCTCCATGCTTTAGTTACTATAAATGAAGGTTAAGTAAGCCAAAAATAGTACCTGGAGTACTCCAGGGCAAGTAAGAAACCTTACATTGGGTGAATATAGATGCCTAACTGCTTATCCTGAAACTTTGTTTACCCACAGACATGACAGACTCCAACAAGATGATCATCAACTTGGCCCTCTTTGGCATGACTCAGAGTGGAAAAAGTTCTGTTGGGAACATTCTGCTGGGAAGCTCTGACTTCCACAGCAGCTTTTCTCCATGTTCTGTGACCAAAGATTGTTGTCTGGGTCGCAGTTGTCACCTCTGTGGCTTCATGCGTCGAGGGGGACAAGAGATAACCCTGCAGATTCAGGTGTTGGACACTCCAGGTTACCCACACAGCAAGTTGAATCAGGAGCATGTGAAACAGGAGGTCAAGCACGCCCTAGCACATCACTTCGGGCAAGAAGGTCTCCATCTTGCACTGCTGGTCCAGAGAGCAGACGTGCCATTCTGCGAACAAGAAGCATCTTCCTTAGTCCAGATGATTCAGGTAATACAAAAAGGCAGTTACACTAATGCCATTATTTCTATTTGGAGGACATTATCCTAATAGGAAAGAACTATGAAAATCTGGTTAAAAGAGTAGTTTAGAACAAGTTTAAAACAAGTGCTGGTCACACAGAAATGGTAGAAATACTTGATTTTTCCCACCAAGAGTCATTTTTACAATTTCTTTTAGAGGAATTCAGTTAGTCATTTTACAACTAGATCATAGACCCTTCAGGCTCCCTCCCCACCCCAAAATAAGATGCTAGACTTCAGAGGTTAGCTAACCCCTGAATAAATTGGTAAATGTGGTCTCCAGACTACCAGCATCAGAATCACCTGGGTTGTTCTTAAAAATGCATATTCATCTAAGCCCTAGTGAATCAGAATTTCAAGAATAGAGCCTGCATATCTGTATTTGCATAAATTTTCTGTATATATTTTTTAATGGTAAAGTTTAAGAACTACTAAAACTTGCACCCATTTAACATCAGGGGTAATCTCTTATAGTTCACCAACAAATGGGTATTCATTCATTCACTGATTCAGTCATTGCAAACTGTATCAGGTACTTATACAGAGCTTAATGATTGGTGAACAATATATGAGCCCTGCTCTCACATACAGTCTAGAAGAGACAGATAAGTATAAGACAATGCATTAAGTACCAGAGTAATATAACATATGGCTTGGGGGAAAGAGGTTTCACTGTGACTTAAATCATGGTCAACATGTAGGGAAGATCTATGCTTTATGTATAGGAAAGAAATCAGGAATTTCAGATGCTCTAAGTGCCTCATCATCTTTAGGGTCAGCAACTGATCCACTGTAGCCAAGAAAAGACCACAGGGACTCAGCATGAACATGAATAACATATGCCACCTTTGCCTAGTGGTCCATCCATGTTTGTTTGTTCATTTATTATAAGTCACTAAGTTGGAAGCTTGTTCAGTCGGTATAGGTGAGGACCTGGGAATAGGGAGAGGTTCTGAGTATGGCTATAACTGGGAGATGGAGGGAGTAATACTTGCATATGATATATACACATATATAAGCCAGGTCCATGTATAACCAACAATTCGTAGAAACTGCTCATTGAGCTGCTCCATTCTACTCAATCTCTTGATTCTCTAGTCTCTGGTCATGCAAATCTAACTGTTGGATTTGTCTAGTATTACTCAGTAGCCTCATTAAGTCACCAAGATAAGAGAACTCATCACTACTAGAAGCTCCACATGTGAACTATAGGGAGAATAGACAGCAGACATTTCTCACTCAAGAATATGCTACTCTTCCTTTGGCCTAGTCTATGATCACTTCGATGTAGGATCTATTACACTTAGAAATATAGTATACTTAGATTTAAAGAAATATCTAGTAAAGGCATAAGATTGTTCTAAGTGACAGACATACTTTTTTTCAGTAATTGTGCATGTTTCTAAAAAAGAAAAAAAAAGCCATATGTGAAATCATAGCAAACTAGCGGAAAAAATTAGGGTGACAAAGAATATAAAAGCTAATTCTCATCATCCAACTCCTGAAAAATCAAGGACATACTGAACAAAAGTAGAGAAGATGATTGCAATTAAGAAACAATATGGAATCTAAGAAACCCTACAAACCTCCCCCAAACTATTAAAGCCTGCACTTCAAACAACATTTCTGGTAGAAATCAAGTGAGGGGAAACCTATTGCCATTTCATCAGTATAATTTTTAAACAAATTTTAAAATTAATTTAAAGATGCTATTAAATAAACATTTAACATGTAGATGGATATAAGTCTGTGAAGTCAGTAAGTGCACAAATATTTCTCAAAAACTAACCTGACTCTATATGTCTCTAAATTTTCATCTATGCTGGTCCTTTGCTTAGCCGAAAAGGGTTTTTAAAAGACATACATTTTAAAATATATTTCTTTTCCAGTTTTAGGATATAGAGCTCTATTGTAATCCCCTAACTTTTTTTATAAAAGTGAATTTGATTCATACATATCTCTGATCTTTTTAAAAGGTATCTGGCATACAACTGCCTTCTCTTTTACCACTGCCTTCCTTAATTCAGTGTCCAGTTCATGACTTAAAGGCAGAGTGAAGATGGGCTAGAGTAAAACTCAGATCCAGAATTTTTTTTCTAAAATAAATATCTTTTCCCTCTCAGGAAAACTCAGCAGCCAAGATTTAGTAAGCTTCAGAGGGGCCCATGACCCCTGGGAAGAACTGCAGTCCTATTCTGGGCTTCCATCATAATTTTTGGTTGAAGATCGCCTATGCACAAGCTGGCTGTTTATGACCTTCTTCCTGAAGGTGCTTCAGTTACTGGTGGTAGCCATCTGGATATGCTCACAGATTGGGAGCAGCTGCAGAATGTCTGAATATTCAACAGGACCAACAGCTGTTAGGAAGGAGCAAAGAGTTGTTAAGGTCCTCTGGTTCCAGACACACCCTTTCTTTTTCTTCCTGGCTGATGCAAAATGGGGAATGGAATATTAGCCTTCTTCTTTTTCCTTTCCTCCTTTCTAGGGGGCACTGATGCCTGCCATGGAAGGAGTCTACAAGGCCAACGTCAGAGAAGTGACCTCTTCTTTCCTGTACCTCCCTGTGGTCTCTTTAAATCTCTTTTTTATTTGTGCTCTAATATTTTTTAGAGGGGCTATTGGTTGCCAGCTATAACAAATGAAACATTTTCCTAAATGATCCCTTTTTCTTTATTTATGTTAGGCCTTCATAATTTATAGCAAAATGGTAGAGAACTCAGTGAGTTATCTCCCTCAAATTGGGAAATAAATGGAATGATTCATCTACAGATTATCTGAGTATCATTTGAATGTTATTTAAAAATCCACATATAATGAACAGAGAAGACAAAATGGTCACCTTAAAAAAAGTGCTAGCAAGCAGCCGAAGTGCACTAGGAATTGAATCCAGGAATTGACTAAAGTCCAAATTCTTTCCACTATCATAGTATCCTGTATTATTACTATACATAATAAGGCCTCAAGCATGTATTTTTTATTTGGAATGAATAACTCAAATATTGATGTTATAGGTGGGTGTGTATACAAAAGGCTCAGAAAGGCCAGTGCAAAGCCTGAAAATACTTAACAAAGATAATGGGCTTAGTTGTTGGACAGAATTTAGTTGAAAAATAAGCCTTCTTATAATTCTAGGTATGTGACTGTAAATGTTAGTAAGTTTCTTGGCTTCAGTTCCTCACTTACAAAATGAGGATAATTTTACCTATGTTAAAGAGTTTTAAGGGCCATGTTTAATGAATGTAATGTGCTTGGCATTGTGCCTGACTTAATAGTAGGTTCACAGAAAATTATTATCATTGTTACAATTTTTATTGTCACTATACAGATTGTGATGAGCACCTATTCAAATGGATTACTAGATATGAACAATCTACTGTAGAGGTTAAGAGCATGGGTTCTAGAGTAAGTTACACTTGTGTTCAAGCTTCTAATTAGTTACTTACTTGTTTTGTGAGCTTGGGCAAGTAACTTCTCTAAATTTCAATCCCTTCATTGGTAAAATTGGGACAGATAACAGTATCTACTTGACTGGGTTTTTTTCAGGACTAATTTCATATTAACCTAACAGTAAATTAACTCAGACATTAGCACAGAGAAGTACACACTAAATGTCAGCTATGGTCATTATAATTTTATTTTTTGTGTTTGTCTTATGCTAAAATTAGGACATTTTATTTGTAGCCTTCTTCAGGATTATCTTGATAGGCTTCAGAAGAAAATCAGAGCGAAATTAAATTTACAAAGCCCTGATGTATAAGAACTTCCTGATTTAGAAAACAATCTGGGAGGAAAATTCACTGGCTTAGTTAAGGTTAAAATGAAAAGCTCCAATTTAGTGGGAAGGAGATGGTCCTGACAGTTAGGGGACCTCTGTTATAGGCCCAGGCCTGCCAACAATCAGCTGTGCAGCTTTGGCCATTTAACATCACATGCCCACAATATCCTCATCTGTAAAATAAGACCATTTGGACAGAAGATCTCTAAGGTTGAATGTTCACTGAATCTGATCTAACAAGGTCTTATCATTCAGTTCTCTGAGACGGAAATGTGGTGTTTAAGTGGGATGAGAGTAAGGGAATAGTATGAAATATAAAGAATGGTCCTTATTGTCCTCCTGTTCCATGATAATTTTTTTCTCAGTTGATGTAATAGTTGGCTTTTTAAAAAATTCCCCCTAAAAAGTCCAGATGCTATGATTTCATCAACCACAAACAAATGGGGCAGGGCTGGTGAGGTCCTGGGAAAATGAACATAATTCCTGGAAAACAAAGTTTATATCCTAACTAGTTGTCCCAAAAGGACTAGATGGACTCATACCCATTAGCACTCTGAAACCAAACAATTCATGATTGATTATAAAATTTCCATCTAACTTAGTACTATATTTAAATTATTAACACCAGATAACTTACATTAAACTTATCTTGCTCTTGGATTTTTATGTGAGGTATCAATCAACTGTGATTATCCTTTCTCTGGGTCCACAGAGAACATGTTTGGCCACTAACACAATGACTATACACCGAGCGACACTACTTTCAAATAGTCAACTATTTTCCAGCCAAAAATCAATCTAAAGATTATAAGCTAAATCAACCATTCTCTTCTATTTTTGGCAGTAATTCAAAAGTGCAATTTCTCTCACAGTTTAGGACATGAGCATCCTTTCATAAATAATTATCAACATGTAAAAGCTTCCCAGTGGCTGAACACATGGAGTTGTAAGTGGTGTTGAGCTTACAAATCTATTTTCCTTAGGTGGCTTAACTCATTTTTCCTGAATGCTATTTATTGTAGTTTAAAGTATAGGAAATGTCTAGTGGAGACAAAAAGGGAATGTGTTACTGTTACAACCCAAAAAAACAGGAACTAAAGACACGGTGTAAAAGTTACACCATTGAATGCAATAAGTACTAATCTAGCAAGAGAAGAATTCTATAATATATAACTCCAGAAGGGATCACTTGGGCCAAACAGTTTATTTAGCATGAATTTTTATTATGGTGATGTTTTAAAAATATTTAGTGACAAATGTGGTTCATGCATCAACCAATACCTAGGGTATAGTCCTGGGGGTAGCACTCAAGAGGTTAAAGGTAATGTCTATTTATTAACTTATAGTACACATTTCAATATTATGACAATCAAAATAAACACATCAATAATGTATTCAGAATATCAGAACTGGCTCTAAATTTGAGAAACTTTCAGAGACAAGAATGTTCAAGGATCAATAGTTTCACTTTATAGAAGTAAAGTCCCAATACTATACAATCCTCAATAAGGCTTAATCACTCTCTTTACTTGTGTAGGTCTTCACTGCCTGATACCTCTTGTTGATTCCTATGCTAGAGGCATTATAGAGGCATAGCTAGAAACCTCTCCTGACTCTCCCCTTTACCCTCACTTTCCACTCCCACCCCAAACGGGGCCAAATGTCTGCCTCTATAGCACCCGTATATTTTCTATCACAACACCTACAATTACAATGAATTGAAAGTATTTTCTTCCCTGTCTGTCCCTCCTCCTCAGTTTTCAGTTAGTACCAAAAAATCTCCACTGGACATAAGCAGAAAAGTGAATATCATGGTCCACTCTGTGTCCCTGGAACAAAATAACTCTCAATAAATATTTGCAGAAGGAATAAATCACCAAGAATTCTTTTAAAAATTCAAATTCCTACGTTCTATTCCTAAAGATTCTGATGCCTTTTTAGCAAGCATCCCAAGTGGTTCTGATGTAAATAACCCAGGAATCTTTTTATTCTCAGAATCTAAATTTAGCACTTCATTAAATTTTCAACTATTTACATTAATTTGTAGGGTTGCCATAATAGGCTGTACTACCTGGGTGGCTTTAAAGCAACAGAAATTTATTCTCTCTCAGTTCTGAAATGAATGTTAGCAGGGTCAGTTCCTTCTGCGGGCTGTTTAGTGAAGAATCTATCTAAGGGTTATGTCTTTGGCTTATGGACGATTGTCTTTATGTTTACATGGCATTTTCCCTGTATTCATATTTTTGTCCAAATTTCTCTGTTTTATAAGAACACCAATCATATTGCATTAGTGGCCTTAACTTGACTTAACTTGACTAATTACATTGGCAACAACTCTACTGCTAAATTAAGTCACATTGTGAGGTACTAGAGGTTAGGATTTCAACATATGAACTTGGGGGGATATACAGTTCAAACCATAATACCAGTTTATTCTGTGACTCTCTGATCTCCTCTCAAGAAATATGTTCAACATACTGAATATGACAAATTTTGCTATGTCATACTAGCTAAAATGTTGACATTACATATATACTTAGATTTATGTAAGAGCTATTTTCCCTAAAAGGAGGGTTAATTATAATTTTGCTAATTTGTGTTTTGAAGGCACATAAAAATATATCAATTAAAGTACCTTTTAAAAAATTCTTTTGTAAAGGTTAGAATCTGTTAAAAATAATTATTCATTTAATGTACTGATCTTGAAACTTCAGATTTTTTTCAGGTAGGGCACTTTTAGGAGAACCAGAAATTTACAATTATTCTATGGTGTGGACAAATTTTAAACAGATATGAGGGAAAATTTTGTACTTACTCATTGATAAAGTCTTTTTGAATGCAAAGGAAAAAGTGCAGACTACCTGCAAATCCATGAGAATGAAGTATAAGACAAGAGAAATTTTATAAGTAAATTTTGAGTCTCAAGGATCCAACTTCAAAACTAAAGATTTAAAACAAATAAATAAAACCTTCCGTTTGAGATGACAGTGAGGGCCCAAATTCCAAATTAATCCAACCAATATCTGCTGAGAGTTTACAATGTGTTAGAGGCTTTGATTGATATAAAAAGACATAGACTCTGCCTTCCAAAAGCTTATAGTCAAGTTAGAGTAAACGTATAAATAAATAGCACTGGTAAGTGACAGATTGTATTAGGAATTATAATTGGTAACCATGGTCTCAAGATGTTTAAATATATTGCCCTACAGTTGCTGTATTTTCATATTATTTACATGTTTTGATTCTTCCTTTCTCTCTATTCATTTTCAGTTTGTCTTATAAATACCAATCCTATACTTCTTACATACATTGAAAATAGTAATAGAAATAGAAATAGAAAACTGACTTTCAATTTTTAAAGATTCTTTTTAAACCAGTTTGTACTGATATCCCTCTACAGATTTGTATCCAACCTCTCTATGCATCAGTTTCTCTGTTTCATACTGGAGAGAACACGAGTATCTCCCCCAAAGCATTATGTTGACTTTCAAAAGGAATAAAGCATTTCAATTGCCCAGAATAATATCTAGCACTAAATATTAGTTGTCCTTCCTTCTTTCTTCTGATTACTAGAGGTCCTGGGTATTTCTTGTCATGTTTATTCATAAGTATTTTGTATTTTTCTGAAGGATCAAAAATAAATAAACCCTTAAACCCTGTATTTGAGATGATAATGAGGGTCGAAATTCCATATTGCTATTATAAACTGCTAGCACCTTTGAAAATATTTTGGTAATGAAAATATCTGGAATGAAAGGAATGTCATTTTACTTTCACAATGTAATGATTTCATATAACTTTGGAAATATTTTTAAAAATTAAATGGTTATTTCTAGACACCTTTCATATTGTGTGAACAATTTGCCACATGCTGTTACTTCCACTTTATATCAGCTTATTTTCACTAATCAAACAAGAGTTTATTACATAACCAACTTCCACATATTACTAAACAAAGGAACATGAGTCTTCAATGTTTTGTAACCACATTAGAGGAAGTTATCTGATAAACTGGCATTGATTCCAGGCATGTGAAGTAAAGAAGATGCGAATCACAGTAATATAGTCATTCCAAATCACTAAATGTAACTTGATCTTAGCTTTTCCATTACATGTCATCTGATTAATCAATAGATTGTAGCCAAATCCTTAGAAGGTACTTTTAGTTACAATAATAACACAACATTCCTACAAAAAAGGATATGACAACTCCCTTAGCCAAAGTCCTTTGATTTAAAGGAATTGTGGTTCTAACAGCTTCAGGTTGGCAGGCAAATATGAATTATTACTGACTGTTGTAAGTGAAATTTTATCACATGCAGCATTAATAATATGCAGTCCTGAAATTGTGTATATGTAAAGTATAAAAGCAAAATAAAATGGAGAAATAAAGACTTTTAAAATTTTTTTATTTTTATTTTTTTTAAATCTTATTATTTATTCATGAGAGATACAGAAGGAGAGAGGCAGAGGCTTAGGCAGAGGGAGAAGCGGGCTCCATGCAGGGAACCCAATGTGGGACTCGATCTTGGGAGTCCAAGGATCACGCCCTGAGCCGAAGGCAGGCGCTCAACCGCTGAGCCACCCAAGGTCCCTAAAGCCTTTTTTTAAAAAAACAAAATCCACCCAGCCCTTTCCATTTACTTACATTAGTTGACCCCATCTTCACTTCCCATTACATATATCAGGTTTTAGTAACATAATGACATCCAGATCTGTTGACTGTCTATATTGAACCATAATAACTCCTTTGCTTGTGTTTGAGGAATATAGGCCAAGGCAAATAGCCATTTAACTTCTTCTCTCTTTCAGGAACTTCTGGGACATGCTTGGAAGAATTACACTGCCATTCTTTTCACCCATGCAGAAAAAATAGAAGAGGCTGGGTTCAGTGAAGATGAATACTTGCATGAGGCCCCTGAAACACTGCTAACGGTGCTAAATTCTATTCAGTGCAGATATATTTTCCAGTATAAAAAAGAAAATTCATTTAATGAACAAAGATTAAAAATGTTAGAAAGAATCATGGGATTTATAAAAGAAAATTGTTACCAAGTTCTTACCTTTAAATAAAATTTAGATAAAAGGAAAAGAGCTTTGGGTTTTAGAGTCAGAAGCCTTGTTTTAAACAGCTTTGTTACAATGGATGAGGACTGTCAGAATTCCCACAGGCTACTGGTAAGAGTGTACATTCGTATAAGCAGTTTTGGACAACTGTTTTGCAGTTAAGAAGAATATAAAATAATCAAGACCTCTAATGCAAATCCTATGACACAGCAATTGCCTTCCCTTTAATTATATATTCAGCAGAAATGTGTATATTTCTGCACTAAAAGACATGTATGTACAAGAATACTCATAGCAGTACTTTTGCTAATAGCTAAATAGCTTTTAGAAATTATCCAAATGTCTATTAACAGTAAAGTGGATAAGCAAATTGAGGTATATTTACACAATGGAGTATTATACAGTAATGAGAATGAGCGAACTACAACTACAAGGAACGATATCCATGAACTGCCCAAACAAAAAGTTTAAAGAAGCCAGACATAAAAGAGTATATATTATATGGTTCCATTTGTATAGAGTCCAAAAACAGTCAAAACTGATGTAATATAAACTACTCTGATGTTAGAAGTGTTGGAAATCTGGAAAGGTCACTCTTGGGGAGGGGATAATAAGCATGCACTGGGCAGCTTCTGAGATTCTGGTAACGTTTTGGTTTTGACCTGGAGGCTGGTTTCAGTGTGTTAGCTTTGTGAAAATTCAACAACAAACACTTCTGATTCATAAACTGTTTAGTATATCTTTTTTATCTAAATAAAAGTAAAATGAATAAATTATTATCTATATTTTCAAAACTTCCTCCACTGCTTACTTGATACTAGACAAGGAAAACTAATCCTGTGAAATCCTCATATGGAGTATCTACTTGATAGTTACTGTAATGATTAAACAACTTGGCTCATGGTAGATGCTCAATAAATGTTAACTTTCTTTTCTGCCATCTTATGATCTGTGGTTCCTATTTAGGGTTGGAAATGTAGGTAAAGATTCACAGCCAAGCCTTACGACACAAATAAGGGTAACAATTTTTATAACCAAATATGAATAGAGCCTTGGCTGAAAAAGCAGCTTCTCTACCTTGAAGATTAGTCACTGGCTTTGTAGAGAGCTCCAGGATGGTATCCAAGACAGCAGGTAGGATGGAAGGAAGATAATTCTAGTCAACACTAATAACCAAGACTACCACGAAATCAAAATTGGATCACCCTCATGTTTAACATTTGTACATGAGCTTTAGAACTTATAAAATTCTTTCACTAGGATAGTTCCCAATTTACAAACAGCTTGGTTTCATATTCTTTAAGGGTGCAATACACTGTATTTCATATTAGAAACAGAATTATAGCTGGTGATTATTCTGCTAGGCCTTCAAAAGCCTACTTAATGCTTAATTTTACCTGAACTCCAGCACAAATGGTATTAGAAAGCCTATATAACCAAAATTTATAAAATGCTTCTATGAGAAAGCATAATTCAAATTCCAACTTGAAACCATATCCCTCTTCATTTCTCTGCAGTGCCCCTTCTATCATGGGTCCAGGATTGTAAAGTGAAAGCTTCAACAATGGGACTCATTTAAGAACCAAACAGGAATTGACACTTCTCCAGGGGTTGGTCACTTGGTGACAAAGAATGAGATTTGAGGCTCAGAAGTTAAAATTGAAGTGAGTGCTGAAGAGAGGGGAAAATGCAGGTTTTAAGTCCTTCATATTCTTCACTCATGTGATATCAGTTAACTCTTCTAGAATATAAATACTAGTTTCAAGAAAGATAAGTTGTGCAGAACATTAAGGGTTCAAGATCTCCAAGACTGGCCTGGTGTTAATGATTAATAGAGGAAAGGTGCCTCCAGTTTCAAAAAGGAAGACTTCTGTGATGTTGATCTGAATTACTTATTTTTATTATTATTATATATATTTGCATATATATCTATTTAAATAACTCCCTAAATGTGATCATATTACGTACTTGACTTTATTTTAGTAGTTGTATTTTGCTTTTTTGATTCGCCTTTACCGCTCTCCTCCTTCCATCTCTCCTCTTCATGCACATCAGCCAATAAGAGAGAGCTCATGTCAACAGAGCATGATATGCACCGTTCCTATTTTCTGTAAGTCCAAGTAATCACGTACAGAGTACATATATATATAAACATATGGAGGACTTTTGTCTATTTTTATGTATTTATTTAATTTATTTGGGGTGGGGAGGAAGAATCGAGAATCTTAAGGAGGCTACAAGTGCAGCACAGAGCCTGATGCAAGGCTCCATCTCACGACCTTGAGATCACAGTTTGAGCCTAAATCAAGAGCTGGACGCTTAACTGACTAAGCCACCCAGATGTTCTGACTTTGGTCTTTTTAAAAAACATTTTCATATTTTACTCACTACAGCATCTTTTTTTCACTTAATGCCACCTCATAAAAACCCCTCCAACATAAAATGTAGCTTAAATTCACCTTTTTTAACACTTTGGTGTATTTTTAACAATTTGTGCAACTACTTCTCTATTGATGTGCCACCCAGCGTCATGCTCTAACAACTATTCCTGTATATGTATTTTTATATAATGCTGACTTTTTCCCTGTAAGTTAAATCCCCAAGAGTGGAGTTTCTGGGTTGAAGTGTATGTACAATTTAATTTCAATATATCTTACCCATTTTCTTTTCATAGTACAAGAAATTTTATTTTCACCAATGTTTGAGTACTCTTTTCCTAAATTCTTGCCATCTACCTTGTTATCTTAAATACCTACTGCTAACACTAATTTGATAAAGCAAAAATCATCTTAATTTGCATTTTCCAGAGTTATCTCTAGAAATGTTACTCATTTAGATTTGGTCATCTATGAATTGCCTCTTCACACTCTGTCCTTTTTATCAGTTTTCTATTGGATTACTTCTTACAATGATTCTTTACTTGACCAAAACTTTAGTTAGGCTTAAACTTCTAGCCCCACCTATGCACTTCCTGATAAAATCTAGTCTCCACAAGAACCCTGGTAAGTTAGTTTAACCAGAACCCTCCACTCTCAGTATGTGATCAGGTTCCTAATGCTCCAACCAAGTGACCCCTGATCCTCACTCTCCTCCTTGGCTGTAAATAACCACTTGCCTGTGCTACATTTGGAGTTGAGCCCAATCTCTGTCCTAACCCTAAAATCCCACTGCAGTAGTCCTTTTACCTGAATGAAGTCTCCCCCCCCCTTTTTTTTTTTTAAGATTTTACTTATTTATTCATGAGGGACACACAGAGAGAGGCAGAGGCAGAGACATAGGCAGAGGGAGAAGCAGACTCCTTGTGGGGAACCTGATGTGGGACTTGATCCCAGGACGGTGGGATTCATGACCTCATGACCTGAGCCATAGGCAGAGGCTCAACCACTGAGCCACCCAGGTGCTCCTCCCTTACCTACTTTAACAAGTGTCACTGAATTTTTTTTAACACTGTGCTTGGCAAAACAGAGGAGCTCTATGTATGCTATAGATATCAGTCTTCCATCTGTCTCTTATGTTGCTATTCTTTTTCAATTCTATTATCTATCCCTTAATTTTGTTTATGAGAACTTTTGCCAAACTAAATTTGTGAATTTTCTTATACTCATATATTTCTATGTTCATGATACAAGATATGGTTTTAGTTTCACTTCCTTCCAGATGAGAAGCCAATTATATTTTCTCTTTTCATTAAATAATTCACCCTTTTCCTACTGAAGTCTCACTCATGCAAGTATCCAGGGTGTTTCTCCATCTTCCTTTAATTATTTATATTACTGTATTTCTTGCATTTTTTTCCTTTACCAAATCAGCTTCACTGATCCTTGGTAATTTGAAAGTTTTATTCTAACTGATACGCTTTAAGGACTACTTCCTTGTTCCTGAGTTCAGAATCAATCACTATTGTTTGATAACAAGGTAATAACTATTTCCCTAACCAAGATCTTTCCACACAGCATCCTGCCCTGGCCTACTAAAATAGACCGTTAGAACACTTTCACTTGCTCTTAATCCCTTTCTTCTTCCCATGTCCTCCCTAGGGAAGCAGGCTTTGGAATGCTTTTCCTTTCCCCCTATTACCAGATTTTGCTAAGACATTTAATTAAAGACTTCCCTGACAGATTGCCCCTTCTGTACAAAAGTCCTCTTAGGGCACCTGGGATGTACTGGATGTAAAAAACTAATTTGTTAGTTGGTAGTCAGGTAATTGAATAACAAGAATGGTGAGACACTGAAGTGAACATCTTGTTGCTGTGCTGTACTCTGCCGGAGGAAGTTGTGGTGTTTGGCTTTTTTTGGATAACCGTACGCGTGTATCCATTGAATAAACTCACTGTAACTGAAGATAACTACAACTTGCAACAAAAGAACCACATAACCAAAATTAGCTTTAGGTAAAAGAAAGGATGTCCAGAAAGTTCATCTTTGGTATCCTGCCACCTATCCCATTAGTCTATCATTTGCAATCTTTCCTTGTGTCCCTTCAGAGGCCCAGTCTGTATGCTATTCTCACCTGGAAGGCAAAAATCTCTATTGAACTTTGTATTTGAAAGTGTTAACTTTTGGAGGACTGGAAGATAATATACCTGATATTTTTGTGCAGCTGAGGTTAGAGTCTCATTAGCACATATCATCTTGGGGCACTGGTGATTCATCTCTAATACTCACTAGCTCTAACCTTTACTAGATTTATTCTTCTAAATATATTACCTCAATTAGCAATTTCATACTTTTTATTAGTTATGTTTATCTATACTGTGTCATGTTTTCCATAAAGATTTCTGTTCTACTGACTTTCAGGCATATTATAATTCTTTACAAAAGGTTAATGTTTTTAAGTGGCATTGCTATTTCCCAAATTTTCAAACTTTATTTAAAAAAGTAGTGTTTTCACAAGCACCTGAAGTTTTTCCCAATGCATGTGCTGTTTTAAGAGGAAATGTTATCCTTTTATATGAAAACTAAAGTTATAGAAAAAATATTTCTACCAACATCATTCTCTTTTGCTAAACCTACTGAAAGTGACTTTTAGTTTGTATATTTCTTAATCTTTTTCAAAGAGAAATCAAATTGTGGTGTTGATTTTGGATAACTCCTGCACTATTCTTTCCAAATTCCCCAGCTATAAAAAGCTGAATGGGTTCTAAATTAACAAGTATCAGACAAATAAGCAATCTTAGAGATGAAAAGTTAAGTGGATGAATAAATATTGGGAGCGTTTCTCTACTGGGATGTATAATATTCTAATGAGGCAATTTTACAAAAACAAATGTAAAATTTTATTAGAGCAGCCTTGATATGAAGGCTCATCTCAAAAATGCCATTGTAGCAATGAGCAGACATTAATAATTGCTATTTGAACAATATTAGGTATTATGTAGAAATGGGAAAGGCAAGAAGAGTATCTAGCCCGTTCATTAAAAAGGATCATTCTTTTTTTCTTGCAATTATTGAGCCTCAGGCTTGTTTCTGCTGCTGTTGCTAAGGACAATAGCCTGCCAGATAGGAAATGATGTTGATGAAGACATAAAATAACACTTATACACATATTTTACTCAAAAATCCAGAGAACTGGGAATAGTGTGTTAGGAGGGGGTGGGAATAAGGAAGGAAAAGGAAAAAAAATAAACCAGGGAATACATATGAGTGAAAAAAATATAATCTACAATAATTAATTCACACTCCGAAATTCCAGATGGCTCACTTTCAAACCAGCAATTATTTCACTGTTCTGGGTCCTTTCTCCAATTTTTTTTTTTGGAGTTATACCCCTATGAATTATCTCTGCCAAGACTTATCCAAAGGAAAACCCTTAACTATAAAAAGTACAGTAAGCAAAAATGTGTAAGTCACTAACTCTTTTCTATTCCAACAAGTTGGTATCCGAAGATTTGGTTTGTATAGAGGCATATTAGCCATCAGCAACTATCTTTCTTTTCATTATTACTGCAGATTGTGGAGTTATCATCTAAGTAGTACTGCAAATAAAGCATAACTGTAGAGTTGCTCCAGGATTAAATACATATTGTCTATCTATCTATCTGGAATTCAGTGACTTCTGTCATAGGTTGGTTTTTGGGACAGAGTGTCAGGATCAGGGCTCTCAACGGTGCAATAATCAAAGGATCAAGGCACAAGGCTTTTTAAAAAGGGAACTGCTACCAGCACCAGCAGTCTGGTTTTACCAAGAGGTTAATCCTAAGAATTTCTGCAATAACAACAAAAAGGTTGATAAATTATCTTTGTAATCAATCACTCCAAAGGAGTGTTTAGTGATCTTGCCTCTTCCTTTAGAATCTCTTAAATACTCTACTAATGGAGTCATCCTAATCTCTTTACATGAACTACTAGAGTTTAGGGACTTTATCACTATCATTCCCTGAAGTTTAAACAAAGTTAAGTTTCTCATCCAAATAAAAGAAACCACATGACATTTAACTGACATGGAAGAAAAGCGTATTATAATGGAAAAGAGCACAGCATTAGTAAGAGCTGGAAGATCAGGTTTCAGCCAGTTATACCTTACCACAGGCATTTGACTTTTCTGCTGGTTCTTTGGGGTAAAATGAAATGGCTGGTCTACTTCAACAGAGTTAAGAAAGAAATAGGCACAATGTATACAAGTACTTTGTTAGTTATAAAGCACTAAATATCTTAATCATAATCCTGTAATAAAATCCATGAAGAAGAGAGGTATTATTAATATATTCCCTCTAACTCTGGTTGGAGAATGGTATAGTTTATTTCTTGAAATTTTGGAAAGCAGGGCAGCCGGGGTGGCTCAGAGTAAGTTTAGCACCACCTTCGGCCCAGGGTGTGGTCCTGGAGACCCGAGATCAAGTCCCATGTCAGACTCAGGCTCCCTGCATGGAGCCTGCTTCTCCCTCTGCCTGTGTCTCTGCCTCTCTCTCTCTCTATCTCTGTGTCTCTCATGAATAAATAAAATCTTAAAAAAAAAAAAAAACCACACACCAAGAAATTTTGGAGAGTAAAGCTTTCCCCACAGGACAGCAATCTGTAGTATTATTGTTAGTTGAATTACACTAATTTTCCTTCCTAGTTTTTATTTGGTATCTTGGTGGTAAAGTTTTAGTTTTCACACTGCTGCATAGCGCTTAGAACCAGAACTTGTCACAATTATGTAAAGTACATAGTTAATACTGAGTACTGATATTTTTATATTTTTAAAGGTTCAACATATAATTTCTCTGGAAAGCTGAGGTATAATATACTTATGTTCCTTTAATGCTCTTGTTATACACAATAGCCAAGTACTTCCCCACTGACCAAGAACTTAAAAACAGAATTGCTTCTATTTATATTAAGCTAAAACATAATAGTGAGAAATATTATCTTCCTAGTCAAGAAAATTGTAAAACTCGGGGTGCCTGGGTAGCTCAGTTGGTTAAGCATCTGCCTTTGGCTCAGGCCATGATTCTGTGCTCCCTGTTTAGCAGGGAGTCTGTTTCTCCCTCTGCCCCTCCCCCTGCTCATGATCTCTTTCTCTCTCTCAAATAAATAAAATCTTAAAAAAAAAAACCCTGCAAAACTATTTAAAATTATCATTAATACTAAACCAGTCAAAGGGCATGGATGAATGGGAGTGGTCAGTATCTAAATATCTAATCAATAGATTTCAGTGGGAACACATGGATAAGAGTAAATTTCAGTAATGTAGTAAGTATGTCTTACCATAAAGTAATATCAACATAATATATATCTACTGTTTTCAAGGAACTATCTTAAGTAAAGTACTTTGTTGGTGCTAACTCCTACAATCTTTGTAATTCTGAGATAGGTATTATGAGGTAAGTATTATACCCACCTTAAATGAGGTGAGTAAAGTAAAGGCTAAAGAGTTGCCCAGGCTTACATACACATTTAAGTTGTAGAGCCAGGAATCAAAACTAGGTAGGTGATTTGGCTTCAAAACCAATACTAAACTATATGGATATCTTAGCATCTCTAAGAGTCATCTACAAATGCAGGTTTTTGGACCTGCAAAGCCAAGGCCAAAACTCTTGGATCTGGTTAAATTCACTAATGTTGCTATACAGGTGCCTATCCACATCCTCTCCCTTGTTGACAAGCTATTAAACTTCCATGAGTTACTCTGAATATTTTGTAAATAGGTTAAATAGGAATTTACATATTTTTAAAAAAGCAACAATGAAGTTATCTGTTTGGTGGGCACTTGATGTTCTTATATGCATACAGTACTTAGTATTCTTGGTAAAAGCAAAACGGGGAAAAATGTCAATTTTATATTAAAATCAACACGTCCTGAAGATGACTCATCTCAAAAGAATACACATAGAATTTCTAGGGGCAGCCCTGATGGCCCAGCGGTTTGGTGCTGCCTTCAGCCCAGGGTATGATCCTGGAGACCCGGGATCGAGTCCCATGTCGGGCTCCCTGCATGGAGCCTGCTTCTCCCTCTGCCTGTGTCTCTGCCTCTCTCTCTCTCTGTCATGAATAAATAAAGTCTTTAAAAAAAAGAAAAGAAAAGAAAAGATCTCGAGGGAGGGTCAACTTTTTTTTTTTTTGGTTTAGTTACCAAAACAAATAGAAGTCAAGAGGCACCAACTGTTTAGGCTGTGACCTAACATCATCTTCTGTTTGAAATCCTTAAAGGGCTGAATACTAGTTAAAGTCAAAAGGTTTATGTCCAGTTCATGAACAATGCCATTTTTTTGTTGTTGATTCCATAAGAGCTCTCTTATCCCAGCAATAAAAATTAATCAGAATTATTTTTCTGTAAAAACAATGACTAATAATGAAGTTGCACTGATAACTTGATTCATGCTTTATGTAACTTTAAAAAATTGGGAATAAATATTCCAACTATCTAAGTAGTTAAAACATTCCTTATATTAAAGAAATTTAATGTAATTGGGAAAAATTGGAAAATACAGAATCATGAAACTTTGTCCCAGTCTTATTTCCAAAAGAATAATATATCCTGAGTACAAAATAACTTTTGACATTTACTATATTTAGTTGTCTACAGTTGGTATTGATGTTCTGTTAATATTTATTTTTTCAGAAAGAAGATAAAACTGGCTACCAGAACTCTGTGGACTTTTAAATAAATGAAATTTAATTACACCTTTTAGAATCTGGCATGCAGGGTTGTTCAATTTCTTTGTTTTGCCTCTCCTACTTACTGGAGGCAATAAACAGAATATTGTGTAAATTTCTTTTAAACAGTATCTATACTCCTACCTCCACAGATGTATTTCTTTTTGGTAGCCGAAACTATCAGTTGACTCAAGGCTAGTCAACCTCAAAGCTCATAATTCCTATGTTAATTTTCATAGTTCCTACAATATCTGTAAGATGTGTGAAAACAGTCATTTGACACCTTAATATATATGTATGTTAATTTTGATAACAATTTTCTTGAAAAATCAAAATATATTGATCTTAAATGCTTTTCTAAAGGTAATAACTTACAAATAATCTTTAATTAGGTACCTAAAGAATCTTTATAATAACCTAGAAAAAAAAAGTAGTCTGGTGCTTTTACATCAATTTATTGGAAACTGTATTGGCAACATTTTGCAATATATTTATTCTTTATAGTCAAAATTTATTACTAATTATTTTGTCAAATAGAAGAAAAAGTTCAGTACACAGTTGAAAATTTCATTCTTTTAAAAAAGTCACCTTCAGTATACAGTTCTCAGTATCCCAGTAAGCAACAACAATAACGTTCACGTCTCCTACTTTTACGATGTTTGGCTTTCTAAAAGCAACAGCTGGTCATTTTCAACAATACAAGTAGTTAATAAGCTTGACAAAAATTCTAACTTGTCATTTCTAAAGAGGAGAAGACATTTATAATACAGATACACAATATACTAAAAATCTAAGGGTTTAGAATTTCATGCACCATGTGCCTACAAAGAGGATTCTAAATGTTCATCTAGTTCAAGTTATCTAAACATATCAAGAAAAACAATCAGCTAACCAACATCCCTGCTAAAAAATAAATCATCAGAAAATGTTAGTGATTTCCTTCCTACATTATAAATGAGCACAAGCTCGTTTAATGTAGGTAAGAATGTAATGTTTCACTAACCGATTAAAAACAACACATACCCTGTCAAGTCTACAAGAGAAATAACACACACAAAAGCCAATTATATTTTAGGTACAAGTGACAAATATATTTCTTTTTATTGTTATTAAAGTTTTCTCCAATGTATTTCAGTAAATGAAGCATTTTATTTTATTTTATTTTACTTTATTCCACTGTTGGTCATAGTTTGAGCCCTACACACTCCCTTCCCTTTCACCTCAAAGGGAGCTCCTTTGTATGTAGCCACACATTCATCATTAGTGTAGAGATCAGGTTGGATCTGCTCCCAAATCTTCTTCTTAGGATTCAGCTCCTTGTCAGGCTCTCCTATTGGAGGAAAAAATAAAAGTTGCATAGCCATCATATTAAATAAATTATCCGTAGTGAACTGTGTAGGCAACATCTTTTGATCTTTAGACCTGATCAGAATTTTAACACTAACTTTTAACATTTACTTTATTTTTGTGATGTCAGTTTATATTTTTGACAGGTAAAATAAAATACTTTGTCATTTCCTAACATGGCTTCTCCTTTGGCGTGTTTAATTGTGATGTTTAACGGACACCCTTACAGTTTAAGGTTAGGCCCCCTTTTAAAACAAAAGTCTCTCCTAATGATGACTTGAACCCTGCTGACGGATCAGCAGAACCTGTAGGATCTTATTTGGAACTGATATTCTCTATTATAATTTTGTTCCTATTTAAAAATATTTTTGGGATCCCTGGGTGGCGCAGCGGTTTGGTGCCTGCCTTTGGGCCAGGGCGCGATCCTGGAGACCCGGGATCGAGTCCCACATCGGGCTCCCGGTGCATGGAGCCTGCTTCTCCCTCTGCCTGTGTCTCTGCCCCTCTCTCTCTCTCTCTCTCTGTGTGACTATCATAAATAAATAAAAATTAAAAAAAAATATTTTTATTTGTTTCACTGGAGAGATGATGCTTAGTTTTAAACATTAAAAGTGTAGTTGCTTTGTAAAACTAAATATGTACACACACAAAAATATTTTTGCATGTAGTAATACAGCTAAAAGAATCCTCCAAATTATTAAAACAAGAATATACTATACTCATTTTGTTGCAGAAAAATTGTGAAGAGATGAGATTGTAATTTTATGTGTTATATTTTTACATGTGGCAGAAGTAGCTTATGCTTTACTCTGTTTCAATGTACAATATAAATGATGAGATTGCTGCTATTGTGCTTAAAGATTTCTTATTGATACTGTAGAATGGATTAACTGTTCATACTATCTAGCTAAATAAAATAACTACTTTGGGTTTCATCTACTGCCCATTCCATTTGGTGAGATGGAGAGACAGAGGTAGTAAGGAGACAAGTACAAGCATTTTCTAAACATGAGAAATATATACTATTGCATGCAATGTACATTAATAACACTCTAATTTTAAATATAAGGAAACTGGTGTTTAGAGACGATAAGCTGCTCAAAATTACATGATCAACAAATGGAATTACAATTTGACAGCAAAACCCTTATTCTGCTAGTATAGCATCTTGCCTCTTGATAGACTATCCTTTAGAAAAAAAAAATTTTATATGTGGATCATAACCCATTCTATCATAACACACACTGAAAGTCTATAGTCAACAAAAGACAAATACGTTGGAGAATAATACGTCTGGTCTAGACTTAAGGGCTACCAATATATCAGACAATCCCTCTGTTTAATGACTGATAAAGAAGTAGAAAGTAAAGTTTGACATAACATCATTTTCGTAGCTAGAGATGTTCAATGACATTTGAAATAAACAATCAGTTCAAGAAACTATGAAAAGTAACATATCTCTCCAGCATTAGTGTGAAATAAAAATGGTTTTTCCAAAGGTAATAAAAAGTTTCTCTGAAGTATAATTCAATAATGACAGATATGTAACTTTCTAGATCTTTTCTAAGTGACTAACAAGTTCAAATCTTCTGGAACTACTTTAAAAAGAAACTTTTAACATTACTGGAACTAATTACATTCTATATTCTGATTACACCTTATTATCTAAACTAGTTTTTATTCTCTACTTCATATGATGGGAACAACAAAACTGAGTAAATTGGCCACAGTGGTTTTGTCCTTTATTAGTGCTTCGGAAACTGCCATGAAACCGGCAAGAAGATACAAAACTGTCCTTGATATGCAGGTTTTCAGAGATGACAGAATAGTTCATTGAATGATGTATCTATTCTAGAAGAACATGCAATGAAACTAAAACTGAAAGACTAGTATAAAAGATAAGGATATCTCTTATTCTTTTAAGGGCATTTGGACAAGAGAGAACTAATTAATAAACAGAATAGAAAAAAATCAATATATAAATTATCTACAAGTTTTTATTTTTTGTTTCTAAACCATTTGTTAGTCTACAAACATAATCCTACTTTGCTTGTACACAGACCAAGTAGGGAAGGAAGTGGGCATCCCAGAATCCTAGAGAGCTGGAGATAGAGATACTATTCAGGGAGGCCTGAGTACTAACTCTGAATTCCTACCCACCACCACCACCACCAAAAGATGTTACCAAACTGATAATGGATTAATTCAAGAAGCAGAGAATCTCAGATTATCAAGATCATAGATTTTATGGGTTGTTGCTAAATGCAGACATAAGCTCCAAATACAAAAAAACGGTGATGCAGCACAAAATTAAGCCTCTCAGATCTAGGAAGATATTAAACTGGTACAGAAAATAATATTTATAATACATAACACATAGTGCTTATCATGGGCCTGCCACTACGCTAAGTGCTTTACATATACTTATTCATTCAATCCTCTCAGTACACTGTATAAGTACTATTTTTTTAAGATTTTATTTATTCATTTGAGAGAGACAGACAGAGATAGAGAGAACACAAGTGGGGAAGAGAGGGAGAAGCAGGCTCCCTGCTAAGCAGAGAGCCCAATGTAGGGCTTGATCCCAAGATCCTGGTATTATGACCTGAGTCAAAGGCAGATGCTTTACCAGCGGAGCCACAAAATGCTCCCATAAATACTATTAGTTATCCGCATTTTACAGATGAGGAAATTGATGCACAAAGGTAACAGCTAAAAACTTAAAAATACCAGGCAGGTAGCAAAGTGTTTCAAAAGTTAAACCTCATGAAACTCACACAGAATAGATACCATTAAAAAATTCTTATAGATGAAAAAGATCAACCTCAGAAAGGTTCCCAGGTCACCCAGCACTGTGGAGTCAAGATCTGAAAGCTTTAACTAATAATTTTCCAGTAACAAACTTTTGAACTAAATATAAACTAGAAACTACTAAAAAGAACCTCTAAAGCTTGACTGTTGCTTTTAACGCACCAGACTCAATACCTGAATACTCTGAATGTAGCTACAAGACTAATGAATGAACCATGATTCAGACAAATAAATTTTGAGATTATAATTAAAACTTGTCACATTATGATACCTGATTATAAGTTAGAGTTGAACAGTCTTGGATGCAGTGTTAACTTTCTAGCTTACTCAAAATGTTTCTCAATAATATATTATTTAGTAGGGTATATAACAAGTTTGAAATGAATGTTTACATCACCTGCCATGAAAAACATACCTAATATGTTAAACAATTGTTTTTTAATGAACTATATTTTCCAGAGAAGGCTTTCATTATTCCTGTGTCTTATGCCCTGTGTATTATTCCTGTGTATTATGCCCTTCTAATCTTATTTTCCTATTTTTCTTTTTGTTTTCTTTTTGACATGGCTATCCAAGGAAGTTCAATGATAACAACAATAAAAGTTCTTAAAGTTAAAAACTGCAGAGCCTCTGAAATTGCTAAACACATGCCAATAATCACCATTTGGAAACGGTTACACATAATGTAAGAGAACTAATCCCTCAGAGACTATTTTAGGCCAACTCATTGTAAACAAAGCATACAGGGAATAGGGAATAGTTCAGAGAGGAATTTTTACAGATGTAAAAAGCTGTGACCACCTTCTTAGAATTTAAAACCTACAAAAAGCAATAAATACAAATTCCAAAGTCCCAGGCATTAACAATTCTGGATTAAGGACCAGAAACTTTGTTTTAATTAGGCCATTCTTTTGTACAGAATGCTCACTGATTATCAGCTTCTCTTTGGTATCTGCCTGCCATGTCCATAAAAAGCCTAACAGTAACTGAATTACACTATGTTTGATTGAGTTTTTGAGATACTATTAACTGTAACTATTGACAATTGTGGCACAAAAACTAAAGTATAACTTTGTAATAAATAAGTCAATTAATTTGAGGTGCATGAGTGGCTCAGTCGCTTAACTGACTAACTTTGGCTCAGGTCATGATCTCAGGGTCTTGGGACTGAGCCCTGTGTCAGGCTCCCTACTCAGAGGGGTGGGGGGTGGACGATGACTCTAACTTTCCCTCTTCCTTTGCCCCTCCCCCCACTTGTGCCCTCTCTCCTTTTCTCTCAAATAATAAAATCTAAAAGAAAAAGAAGTCAATTAATTTTAAAAGTTAATCAATAGAGAAAAGTGGTTTGGTGGTTTGAGAGGAATAATCTTGACAATAATGAAGGCAGACACTCAGACCTGTTCTCCAAATACTTCTTTCTTTTTCTTTTCTTTCTTTTCTTTCTTTTCTTTTCTTTTCTTTTCTTTTCTTTCTTTCTTTCTTTTCTTTCTTTCTTTCTTTCTTTCTTTCTTTCTTTCTTTCTTTCTTTCTCTTCTTTCTTCTTTCTTTCCCCATGTTTTACTAGTATGTTCTTTTCTATTTACTCATACACCAATTTACTGAGCTCCCACTCTATGCCAGGCATTTTTCTAGATGCTAGGAATATAGCAGTGAATAACCACCACGATAAAAAAAAAAAAAAAAAAAAAAAAAAACAAGTCTTGATTTCATGGTGCTTACATTTCTGTGTGGGCAAACAATAAATAATGTATATAGTACGTTATATGACGGTAAGTGTTTTGAAGAAAGAAAAAATAGATAACATTTTAAAAGATTTCAATAGGATAAGGGACCGACCAAGCCATGTAGCTAACTGGGGAAAGAGCCAGTGGCTCAACTGGAATGATCAATAAAGATCTGTGGAATACATAAGGTTAACAGAGATAATGGGAAGCTATTGTAAGAATCTGGGCTTGTACTCTGGGATCAAATGAAAAGCTTTCTAATAGTTCTGAGTAGAGAAGTAATACAATCTGACTTACATCAATCTCCCTGCTATCACTGAAAATAGATAGAAGGGCAAGGGAAATCAGTTAGAAGGTTTTGACTTCCCAATAAGAGATGTTGGCACCAGGACCAAAGTGGTAGTGGTGTAGATACGAATGATTCTAGATATGCCCAGAAGGTGCAATTACTAGGACTTTTTGAAGGAGAAGATATGTGAGAAAATACAAAGAAGTTGAGAGAATGGAATTCCTGTCAGTTAAGATAGGAAATACTATGGAAAAAGGGAATTCTAGGAGAAAGATGGGGATAAGTATTCTCCCTTGGGACAGGTTAGTAAAAATATCTAGTAGGGAGCTGGATAACTAACTGGATAAAAAGCCAAGAAAACGAACATGGAAAGGAAAATAGAAGATGCCAACTGTCGAAAGAAAAAGAGAAGGGGTCAAAAGCCAAGGCCTGGGATACTCCAATGTTGAAAGGTCAGGGAGGTAAGGAAGAATCAGCAAAGGCAGATAAAAAGGGCAGCCAACGATCACCACCAGGATAATGTGGTGCCAGAAACCAAGTTAATTAAGAAAGAGTCTAAGAACTAGACATGGATATTTAGCCAGAGAGAGTAATGTTTGATCTTGATAAGAACAGTTCTGGGAAAACTGAGCAGAGGAACTGATAAAATGAGTTTTGGAGGGAAGAATCTAATATAGACAAGTTTGAAAAATGAAATTAAGACATTTATTTTTCAAAATAATAAATGGATCAAAAAATTCAACACTCTTTGGACACCTGGGTGGCTCAGCGGTTGAGCATCTGCCTTTGGCTCAGGGTGTGATCTGGTGATCTGGGATCGAGTCCCACCATCTGGCTCCTTGAGGGGAGCCTGCTTCTCCCTCTGCCTGAGTCTCTGCCTCTCTCTCTCTGTGTGTCTCTCATGAATAAATAAATAAAATCTTAAAAAAAAATTCAACACTCCTGCATATATCATACATGCTTTGTGATTAGCCATTAACTTATACTTATTAATAAGGCTCAATATTAATAGAAATAAGCATGATCTTGTTCATGCTTATTCAGAAGTCTGAATACAAATTCTCTATTATTAGACAAAAACAGTGCATTGTCAAAAAGGGGCTGTTATTGCCATTGTCTTCTAGCTATAATATTATTTTCAAGTTATTTTTGCTTGGTGCTTTTGGGACTAGTTACCACATTTAAATACTAAAATACATAGCTTCACACATTGAAAATTTTAAAAAGTACTGGGTGGGGAGGGTTTCTAGCCATTGTTCTATTATTTGGCATCCTCTAAACTCTATGTACTTATTGGATTTGTAGCTTGAATAAATAGTTGTTAGGGTAAAAAGCCTTTGCAAGGCCAAATCGCGCTTCAAATGTTTGAGCCCCAACTCCAATTTCTATATCACACTTTATACAACCTGAAATGTAAGTCTCCAGACACTGAGCACATCAAGTGAACATCAAAATGTACCAGCAGACACCTTAAGCTTTAAAATGTAAAACAGATGTTGAAAAATAAAGCACTGATAAATCATGGCTCTCACTGGAAAAAGGAAAAAAAAAAAACAGCAAAACTAATGGCCTGTTGTGTAGTAGTAACTGTTATTTCCTTTCAGATTTACTGCTACAGAAGCAACTGATGTTGAAGCATAAGCAAGGTGAGCAATAACAGACCACATGTCCTAAAATTTACCAATTATTTGATCCTGTTCAGTTTGGTTAAGCTATTATAAGTGATAAGAAAATAACCTCATAGGCCATTTTAAAAGTTAGGTTTTTGCTTTTTTCACTTTACAACTAATTTTTGTACCTTCTCCACATGTGCTGAGGCACAAGGGGAAACTACGAATTTGCAGGAAATACCAGACTTGGGAACAATGTAAATATAAACACATAAATAGCCAAACAGATAGATTAAAGAGTAAGTAAAGACAGGAAATTCATACTGGACTATTAGTCCATATTAGATTATCTTTAATGCTGAGTTACTGACTTTCCTTTACTCAACAGAAGCATCCAGATAAACCTGATTCAAGTTCTAAAATAATACCAGGTAATTCTTTGAGATAAGGGAATGAAAGCCATCATAGCAATAAAAGAATTATAAGCCTTCATTAATGAAATAGTCCATATTAATTCACAGCAAGCAATCATCAACAAAAATGCTACAGTATTAGAAATTCAGGCACATTTATTGTTTCATCTCTTCACTAACTCTATATAACCTTAAGCAAGTAGCTAAATTTTGTTGGGCCTCAAACCAAATCTGTAAAATAGTGGGTTAAAGTAGATTATTTCTTCTAGTTCTAAACATATAACTACAATTTACATCAGAAAATAAAACTTAAAACATACTAAATCTTAAGTGTTTAAATAGAAAGGCAAATATTAATGAACATGCATTTTTTTAAAAAATGCATGCTGAATCTTAAAAGAAAGTTTACTTTTACTGTCATTTTATTCCAATTTAGTGATTAAGACTTCTCAATAGAATTTCAGGTTTGTCAGGTATATAAATGATGATGAACCCCAAGTTTGAGATTTGGGGAAATGTTTTGATACTATGGCAGCAGAATGGTGATCAAAAGGCTCCAAGAACCAAAAGCCATCATGCTGCTTTAAGAAATGATTCTAAATGGGATTTTTCTACCACCTAGATTAACATGAAAGATACTTAGAGCACAGACCATTATGGTTTCCAATCTGCCAAAGTTCAAGACATATACATGCATTCAAAGTCACAGATACTTGCTAAACAATCTGTGTTTTTTAGATTAGTCTACTTTTGATTAGGAAGGGGGAGTTGAATTCAAGGAAATTAACCCATGTTTTCATCTGTATTTTTTACCTTAGTTCAATGTTAAAATCCTTCATATCCTGGTATTTTATCAAAAATCACAGTTAACACAGGATTTAAAAAAAGCAGGCCCATCTAATCACATCAGCCTTGCTATGCTATTTAAATTCAGCTATTTCTACAAATATATCTCCAAATCAATTCTAACTTTTAGACCTGATTCTACTTGTTACCCTAATTTATCTCTACTTTTCCCATTACTCTAGTCACATGAACATCCTGTAGCTAAAGGCAATCTTTTAATTTCTAACTATTTCCAATATTTATTCTCTCATAAATATCCTTTCTCTTTTACTTCAAAGATTTATTTGAAGAAACTTTTTCACATATTATGAAGCTTCATCTGTCTCAGGAGCATTTTATAGGAAAAAACAAGCAAAATGAAAAGCAACTTCCTTTGAGATTATTACAAGAAATACAAGTTTTAACTCAGTTTTTCTTTATATCCTAAAGTCAAGTAAAAGCCTATGCAAGTAGATTATCCGATGGATTTTGAGAATTACACATTTCTTCCCCAAGTATGAACTTTCTTTTTTTGTCTTTCTATGCTGCATTCTGAGATAATTTACAGCTTCAAGGACTCTGCAGCACATTAATTGGTTCTCTATCCATATCACACTCTTCCGCTATGTAAGTATTATCAGCTAACTCTCCCTAGTGTTTTATGCAATGTGTGCATCCATAGGGAGGGTGCTGGTTAGATGGTTGTGCTTAATGTGCAATATTGAACCAATCTCAACAAACTCAATAATAAATTTTCAATAATGGTCACTTAAGGTAAAGCCTTGGAGTCATACACAAGATTGATTTTAAACTAAACATAACAAGAGAAACAATGGTTCCCAAAATGTTTTAAGTAATGATTAATAAAAACTTACCAGGAAAAGCATCGAAAACAATTTTGTCTCCAGGTACAGACCCTGTAGGAGGCGCCAAGATTTCAACCTTCTCAGGTGAACTAGCACACATCACCATTGCTTGAGATATCACTCCCCTCATCTTTGCAGGTTTCAGATTACAAAGTAAAATCACCATCCGATTTTGCATCTGTGTGAAACATAAATTGGTGATTAAAGATGCACAGAGATTTAAATTATTATACCCAGAATACAGTAAGGTACATCTAATGTGCGAATAAATATAAAATGTTCTACTCTTGTAGAACTAGACTAGACATTTTTGTCTGTGTCCAAATTCTTTTATTGTTATGAAGTTGTACATAAACATGAAAAAAAAATTCCACAGGACGAGCAGAGCAAGACTTTTCAGTAAAGTAATTTTTAGGCTGAAACAGATTGGTTTTGAATTTAGCTACCATGTATATTAGCAATGAAATTAAAGTTGAATTGTTTTTCCTGGGATCCCTGGGTGGCACAGTGGTTTAGCGCCTGCCTTTGGCCCAGGGTGCGATCCTGGAGACCCCGGATCGAATCCCACGTCGGGCTCCCAGTGCATGGAGCCTGCTTCTCCTTCTGCCTATGTCTCTGCCTCTCTCTCTCTCTCTCTGTGTGTGTGTGTGACTATAATAAATAAATAAAAATTTTAAAAAAATGTTAAAAAATGAATTGTTTTTCCTTACAAAATGAGGAAAATGATATCAAATTTAAAGAGCCATCTCTAGGATTAAACTGTAACATGTATGCGTTACCACTAAAATAAGTCAACAATTCTTTTTCTCCCTACGTATTTAGTAATTTCCAATACTATGCAAGATTCATTTCTTATTTTAAAAATTACTCTTGGGAGTCTATCATTCTTGGGAAGGTACAGAGTTAGAGGAACCTGAGCTCATCTACTCCCATGGACATACCAATGAAACAACTACATCTACTGCAACTCCAAAACTGACCTGAAGATTGACAGAACACATCATCTACACCTAGCAAGAAGAGAACATCGAAAAGGATAGGACGGTGGAAACACAGTCAGGAATCCTGGTAAATAACCACAAACAGGAGGAGTATTACAAACACAGACCAACTCAAACTGGGAGAATGAGTCTTCATGATATCTGGCTCCAAAAATCAGTAGGACTTAGCTCCAGAAGCTTTAAAAATTAGCAAGGCTTACCTGGGAAAACCAGAGGGTGACAAGAAATTAAGTTCCCACACTAAAAGAGTCATCACCAGACACAGTACAAAAACAGCAGTTTGATAAGTGCCTGAGGTATATGTATAGGAGATATACTAACTAATCCTAGGATGAGCTAGAGGGACAGAAATCTACAGGAAGTATCTCTGGGAAAGAAAGAAGTGCTAGAGAGCATCATTTTTCTTGCCCTCTCCCACTTAGATGGCCTGAAGCTTGCAGGAGCTACTTAGCTCCATCTAACTTACCAGCATCATATGCCTCCTACCCCAGCATCCCCCACCACAGACAAGTACCACCCAATCTACTTGCATCAGGAAGCACCCTTCCAAAGTAGATCCTATCATGTCAAACATAGCAGGCAGGCAGGGTTTAGATCACTCCAAAGTGACTACTGCCTTGGAAAGAAGGAGCGATAACCCTATACACCAGCACAACCATAATTCCTGCAATGAGGCCTCTTCACAGGCTGTACAGGAAGCAAGCTTTGCCCTTTATACACCTGCAGCTATTGCAGAGTCTAACTGCAGACAGTTAAGATGAATGCTGGCATACCAGTGAGCTCACAAGTCCCTCAACAGCACTGGAAGTAAATCCTGCCAGTGCAAAGAAAGTCATTCTAGCCATGAGCATATCCACAGCCAAGGCAATCTTGAAAAAGAACAAAACTGGAGATATCATAATCCCAGATTTCAAGATATACTACAAAGCTGTAGTAATCAAAACAGTATGGTACTGGCACAAAAACAGACACATAGATCGATCGCACAGAATGAAGAGCCCAGAAAATCTACAAAGGAGGCAAGAATACATAATGGTTGGAAAAAAGAGTGGTTTCATTATTTGGTGCTGGGAAAACTGGACAACTACATGTAAAAGAATGAAACTGGACCACTTTCTTACACCACACACAAAAATAAACTTAAATGGATTAAAGACCTAACTATAAGACCTGAAGACCTATAAAACTAGAAGAAAAGACCTATAAAACTAGAAGACCTATAAAACTAGAAGAAAACATAGGCAGTAGTTTCTTTGACACAGGCCATAGAAACATTTTTCTGTAAAACTATAAAGACCTATAAAACTAGAAGAAAACATAGGCAGTAGTTTCTTTGACACAGGCCATAGAAACATTTTTCAGGATAATGTCTCCTGGGGCAAGAGAAACAAAAGCAAAATTAAACTGTTGGGACTATACCAAAATAAAAAGCTTTTGCACAACAAAGGAAACCATCATCAAAACAAAAGGGCAACCTATTGAATGGAATGGGAGAAGACATTTGCAAATGATATATCCCATAAGGGATTAATATCCAAAATATATAAAGAACTTATACAATTCGACACACATCACTATTTATGAGGGAAATGCAAATCAAAACCATAATAAGACATCACCTCACACGAAGAATTGCTAGTATCAAAAAGCCAAGAAATTAAGTTTTGGCAAGCATGTGGAGAAAAAAGAACTCTCATGCAGTGTTGGTAGAAATGTAAACCAATGCAATCACTGTGGAAACCAGAATGGAGGTTCCTCAAAAAATCAAAAATAGAAATACCATATGATACAGTAATTCCACCACTGGCTATTTACCCAAAGAAAATGAAAACCCTAATTCAAAAAGATATATACAGCTTTGTATTTGCTGCAGGATTATCTATAATAGCCAAGATATGGAAGCAATCCCACTGTCCATAGATAGAAGAATGGATAAAGGGTAGCCCGGGCGAGTCAGTGGTTTAGCGCCACCTTCAGCCCAGGGTGTGATCCTGGAGACCCGGGATCCAGTCCCACGTCAGGCTCCCTGCATGGAGTCTGCTTCTTCCTTTGCCTGTGTCTCTGCCTTTCTCTCTGTGTCTCTCATGAATAAATGAATAGTCTTTAAAAAACAAAAAAAAACAAAAAAAAAAGAAGAATGGATAAAGGTGTGTGTGTGTGCATGTGTGTGTGTGTAATGTACATAAATGTGGAACACAGATATAATGGAATATTACTCAGCCACAAAAAAGGAAGAAATCTTGCCATTTGAGACAATATGGATGGACCTAGAGGGTATTATGCTAAGTGAAATAAAACAGAGAAAGACAATACTATATGATTTCACTTATACGTAGGACCTAAAACACAAAGAAATAAATAAGACTCTTAAATACACAGAACAAACTTGTTGTCAGAAGGGAAATGGATAAGAAGATGGGTAAAATAGGTGAAAGAGATTAAAGGTGCAAACTTTCAGTTATAAAATAAATCACAGAGATGAAAAGTACACCATAGGGAATATAGTCAATAATATTTTAGTTAACTTTGCATGGTGACTACACTTATTGTGGAGAGCACTGATAATGCACAGAAATGTTAAACAATCACAAACCTGAAATTAATATAATATGGCAAGCCAATTATATTTCAATAACAAATATTAAAAAAATATACTACTGATCATTTAACTATTCAAGCATATGTACACTGCAATTAACATGTAGGGCTATTTCTACAATTTGCTTTAGAAATGAATAGAAATTTCTTTAACCTTCGAAAGTTAAATGTCTTAATTTTTTCCCCAATTTGCAAAAATAAGGAACATAGTTGTTTATATTCTTTCAATAGGCTTAAAAGAAAATAGCATACAAGAGAACTATCACTGCAGGGAAAAGGAAAAGGCATATTCTAAATAAAAGATGGTTTTATAAACAAATGTTATGGCAAATGTGCCCCAAATCCTATGATTTAAAATAACAGCAGTAGACCTAAGACTCACATTCAAAAGGCCTCCTTTTCAGAGGTCTTCATGGAAAAGATCTTCACACAAATAATTTAAAATACCACATTAGAAAAAAAAAAAATTACAGCCACTATGGTATAAGAAAAAACAATGGGGTGAGCTAGATGCAATTGTTAAAGCACCAGATGATACTCATGGACCTTTACCTTAGAAAAATACACAAGTCTACATAGCGTAGTATGCAATTTGTGGGGGCAAAGTGCTCCTGCTTTATAGAATGTTTAATACTACTGCCTTGATAGGTTAGATACAGATGTGTATATAAATAGCTTTGCTTAAGGCTATGAATGACAGCTGTTGGTAGAGAAGAAACAGTCTGCAAGTTATGGAAACAAAAAAGATGAAGCCGAAGGGAGGAGGAGTTTTTCCAATTTGAGCTGGTTCAAGATCAACTGATACTTTTCTCCAGGGCTTCTTAGGAAACTAATTTCATAAGCAGTCATGAAAAAGTCCTGGTCCTACATAAGACGAATGTTAAACAGAAGAAAAAAAAAAGCACACACATGAACCACATCTATCTTTTTTTAAGGACAAGAGAAACTTCTTCGCTAATCTCACTTCCATTTATTCCCCTCAACAGAGCAGCCAGATGATCCTATTAATATATGAGGCAGACCACATTTCTCCTTTAGCTCAACAGTTTTCCAATGGCTTTCACTCAGAATAAAGCCAGTCTTTACAATGATCTATAAGATCCTGTATCATTAAACATCCTTATTTCTGATTTCGTATTGCATGACATTTCCCTTTCTTTACTTTGCTGTAGTGATACTGCTTCTCTTCATTTTCTTAGACCTTTACTTAAATGTCACTTTCTTTATGATGCCTTCCCTAACCATTTTATAGAAAATGACATCATCCTAACTCCAACAACTCCTAGATTCTTTTCCTACTTTTTCTTTTTATACTTACTTTTTATACTTATAGTATAATTAATATATTATATATCATGATTTTCTGACTCTCCATAGGGTTGTGAGCTTCACAAACACAGCTCTTTTGTTTTTTTTCTAAACAAATCAATCTATCTATCTATCTATCTATCTATCTATCTATCTATCTATCATCTTAACTCACTGCTATATCCCTTGTCTGGAATAGTGCCTGTACACTGCAGGTATCCAATAAAGACTTGCATCTGAAAGTATGAATGAATGAATGTGGGGATTTATCCACATTCACAAAGCCAATAAGCAACGGAGTTGGCAATGAATAAAGAAGAACTATTTTATTTTATTTTATTTTATTTTTTTTTTTTTATATTTATTTATTTATGATAGTCACAGAGAGAGAGAGAGAGGCAGAGACATAGGCAGAGGGAGAAGCAGGCTCCATGCACCGGGAGCCTGACGTGGGATTCGATCCCGGGTCTCCAGGATCGCGCCCTGGGCCAAAGGCAGGCGCCAAACCGCCGCGCCACCCAGGGATCCCAAGAAGAACTATTTTAACATGAAATTCTACAGCCTTTGCGGGGATCCCTGGGTGGCTCAGCAGTTTGGCGCCTGCCTTTGGCCCAGGGCATGATTCTGGAGTCCCGGGATGGAGTCCTACATCGGGCTCCCGGCGTGGAGCCTGCTTCTCCCCTCTGCCTGTGTCTCTGCCTCTCTCTCTCTCTGTGCCTATCATGAATAAAAAAATAAAAATAAAAAAAAAGTCTACACCTTTGCAGTATCTCAGAAGCACCATGATGTAGAGGAAAGAGGTAACTCAGATTACTGTAGAAGACATCTTGAAAAACCAAATTAAAACCATTACTGCATAATTTTTTCCACTGTCACTGGAAATACATACATGTGTGTGTCTATATACACATACACATATTTTAAACACCTAACAACAATACGAAACATTCAGTTTTTATTAAAAAAAAAACACTAAAAATTACAAGTTCAAGCTCTATGAGCCCATCTTTTTACTTCAAGTATAAAAATATTTGAGTTATTAAAAGAAACAAAACAAAACATGACTTTTTACTCTTACTTATTAGGTTGATGCATTCTGGGTTTGTATAACAGTGATTTAAAAAAACTGAGTAACAAAATCCCATGACAGAACAATGATAAAAACATTTACATTGTATTACATACGAAAACCTAAAAACATTTTAAAAACTGAGAAAAGGGATGCCTGGGTGGCTCAGTGGTTGAGCGTCTGCCTCCAGCTCAGGGTATGAACCTGGAGTTCTGGAATAGAGTCCCACACTGGGCTCCCCAGAGGGAGCCTGCTTCTTCCTCTGCCTATGTCTTGGCCTCTCTCCCTCTGTGTCTCTCATGAATAAATAAAATCTTAAAAAAAAAAAAAGAAAAAAAACCTGAGAAAAAATAATGCATCTTTCGTTTTTCTATCCTCATGAACTTGATCCTAACTTGCAACTCTTTTGCAAGTTTTTAGTAGTTTTATGTACTTTTTTGGTGAAATTTATTGCATTAAAATTAATCACATGAACTAATCAACATTGGCTCATGTTGTATGGTCACCTAACAAAATTATATGGAAAAACAGTAGGAAAAAGTGACACGTATGGAAAAGTAAGTTTTACTGTACAGATTACCTGTTCAAGGGGAACATGATTCACCAGGCCACTGACAACTGTTCTTGGAGCTGTTTCTCCAACATCCACTTCTTCTACATATAAAGAATCAGCATCAGGGTGTTTTCTGGCAGTGATGATACAACCAACTCGAAGATCCAGACGAGATACATCCACTGGCTTAGAGTCAGCACTTCCTGCTACTGATTGCTGTTTTTTCTCCCTTTTCTCTCCTAAAAAATATTTATTTATTTTTTAAATATTTATGAATGGTTAAACATCAGAAGTAAAACAAAAATAAACTATGAAAAACTCCCTAACATCAATACTGATGAGTTTAAAAAAGAAAGTGTTTATCTCCTACTTTCAATTAAATAATAACAAAGTAAAGAATTATTCAAGTCACAACATCTTGAATCCTATTTTGGCTATTTCTCTCTTCAAGAACTGCCTGAATCTCTAGTTAAAGACATAAAGTAGAGATGGGTAAACTATATTCATTCATTTACATATCGTCTATGGATGCTTTTGCACTGTGGCAGAGTAGTTGTGACAATGACTTTATGGTCTGCAAAGGTTAAGATTTACTAAATAGACCTTTATTGAGCAAGTTTGCCTTTCCCTGTAACAGAGCTGGTAGTAAATCCATAAAAATTTTTACTGTGACTCTTCAGAAAGTGAAAAATCCTTTATTTAGGAAAAACACCATAATTAGCACCAGCTAAGAGAATGAAGTACAATATAATTTCACTGATAAAATGTTTCTCTCTTTAGTTAAACACACCAACAAGTATACAATGAATTTCTCCACTTCTTATATTTTTCAGAAGACTTATTAGCACATTATTATTCAGAGCAACTATTTGAGCAGAAGAGAACATTTTATTTTTTATTTTATTTTTTTTTAAATAATTACAGCAGAGAGGAATTTTTTTTTTAAATTTTTATTTATTTATGATAGTCACAGAGAGAGAAAGATAGAGGCAGAGACACAGGCAGAGGGAGAAGCAGGCTCCATGCACCGGGAGCCTGACGTGGGATTTGATCCCGGGTCTCCAGGATCGTGCCCTGGGCCAAAGGCAGGCGCCAAACCGCTGCGCCACCCAGGGATCCCAAGAGAACATTTTATTCTGATTATGTTTTAAAAATCCTCCGCTTATTTATATATGTCAATAACCTAACTCTTATTAGCATTTGACTACTTTGGCCACTGAGTCAAATGCAACCTGTAAAGAGTTCATATTCCTGAAGTTTACATCTAGCTTCTCTGGCAGGAAAAAATGTAAAACAAAATAAAAACTTATTTACTTGCAATATACTGGGTAGAGATAAGCATGTAGTTGTGACTTAGATCTCAACTTTGTTTAATCTTGAACAAGTATTTACTGAAATCTAAGGCACTGGAAATAGTAAGATGAGCGGCCCATACTATGAATGCACTGAAAAATCTCTTTTAAGGCGGGTATATATAATGAGTACGTGACAAACATTACATACACATAGAAATATAGAAATACGGAGACAGTGCCTGAAGTGGGAATCATTTTATGTAAGGACATTCACAATTTATACAAAGACAGTTTACAAAAGAAGAGGTAGAGCTAGCTCAAAATAACAGGCAATTTTTAATCTAATGAATTTTTTTTAAAATTCCATTTTCTGTGTAAAATATTAGCAAAGATTTTTTAAATGGAAAAAACCCAAATGATATAGAAATGAATATACAAAATTACTAGAAGAAAATAAACCAAAATCTTAGTAAAAGTTACCTTTGGGTGATTATATATTTAACATAATGCAGTATAACAATGTATCTATATATATATTTTTAATTTTAATCTACTTCCTAGGCATTTGAAATACCTTTATCAGGAACCCACATTCCAGAGGTAACTGTATCAAAATCTTTAGCAAGAACTTAGTCATCATAAAAAAAAAAATTTTAGGAATGTTTAATTAAAAAATGAGTGATGCTCATTAGAAAGACTGTATCATATCCACAGCCTCTGCATGAACAGAATTTTGGAATCTGGCAATTCTAGCAGCCAAACACCAATGGAACAGCCTTCTATTCCAGCACTGTCCAATATGTGGATAGATGCCAACCCCAAACAGCTAGTTTACATTTAAATTTAAAATAATAAACATTCACTTCCTTAGCCATACTAGATACATTTAAAATGTTCAGTAGCCATACCTGACTACTGGCTACTATGTTGGATAATGCAGTTATACAGCATTTCTATCATTACAGAAAAGTACCACTGGACAGAGGCATTCTAGACATAGAGCTCCATTTGGTCTTATGTGGTGTCTCCTCCCACAAAGAAGACTCCATTGTCTCATTTAAATAGAAGATTAATCCTGTAGTCACAAACCCAATTTATCTTCCTTTGGGTTATGAACTTCATCATACTTAGAACAGGCTGTCTGATTGTTTTGTGATTTTTTTTTTTTAGATTTTATTTATTCATGAGACAGAGAGAGAGAGAGAGAGAGAGAGAGGCATAGAGACACAGGCAGAGGGAGAAGCAGGCTCCATGCAGGGAGCCCAATGTGGGACTTGATCCCGGGTCCCCAGGACCATGCCCTGGGTCAAAGGCAGACACTCAACTGCTGAGCCACCCGGGTGGCCCAATTGTGACTACTACTACTTCTTTTTTTTAAAATAAATTTTTTATTGGTGTTCAATTTACCAACATACAGAATAACACCCAGTGCTCATCCTGTCAAGTGCCCCCCTCAGTGCCCGTCACCCATTCACCCTCACCCCTCACCCCCTTCCACCACCCCTTCCACCACCCCTAGTTCGTTTCCCAGAGTTAGAGTCTTTATGTACTTCTTAATAAAGTTTATAAAGTGAAAGAATTAGCTGGATTTGCTTTCATTGTAACCATACCACCTAGTGGTGAAGTTATGTAGAAGGTATATAGCCCCTACCTACTACTAAGAAAGGTTACTGATGTTTAGTAAAAGGAACTGAAAAGTGTCAGATGCTAAACTGGCTTAGGTTAACTCACAAATTCCTCAGCCATTTTATATTTTCCAAAAACTCTTAAGTGGGTGTGTTATGAGAGGTGCATATAATGAATTATAAAAGCATTTTTTTTAGACATTCTTGGAAAAATGAAATCTCCAAAGGAGTAAAGGAGAAGAGGTAAAAAAAGGAGTCAGATTTATGATTAGAATAGCTTTAGCAGCAAGGTAAGAATAAATTAGAAAAGATGAGGCTTTAACATTAATTCAAATGGCAGATCATGAGAAGTTGAACAAAGGTAGCACTTAACAAAATGGAGCCATGGAACTGGGTTCTAGATATGTTTTGGTGATAGGAATTATATGTTTTGGTGGTCAATTAGGTATGGAAATTGAGAGAGGGCAATAGGTTAACTATAACATTTCTAGTCTGGCAATCTAAGTGGATGGTGATATACTTTCCATTCCAGTTTTTATGGGTTCCTAAAATGTTTACACCCCTATACCTTAGTTCAGACATTCTCCTTTGACTAGACTATCCCTTTCCTTTCGTCACACCTAGTCCCAGGTACACACTAAAATTTAGTCATACCAAACTATGGGCCTCTATGCTTAATCTCTACTTTCTATGTTTTTAGTTATCTTAAAATATACTCTACCTAAAATACAACATTCTTACCCTATCGACTTGGTCAATATTCACACATCCTTTAGAGCCCAGTTTCCATGCTGTAGTATCATACTATTCCTAACTTTATTCTAGTTAATAAAGGTTTCAACTTTCTTTTTGACACCACTATTATTATCAAAAGTGATGACATCTGATAAATCAGTCAAGAGCCAAATAACCTTAAAGGTTAAAAATACCTTTCACTTCAATTTTCTCTTTCATCTTCTTTTCTTCTGCTCCTCCTCCTCCTATCTGTTCTTTGGCACCAGAAGATATAGTTGTCATTGGTCTAGACTGTATCACATTTTCAGAAACCATGGAATTAGCTTGCAGCACAGTACCAGATGGAAATGGTATTTGTTTCACTGATACAGAAAATAAATTAAGATAGAGTCATTATGAAAGAAAAATTCACTGCATTTGATTATCAAGTCTCTACCAAGACTGTAGAATGGCTGCCAAGAAATTAAGTACATTTTAACCAAGATAAAAGTTAAATAAGTGATTCTCATTTAATCACTAATAACTGAGAAAAACATAGATAACAATAACTAATATTTATTATGGACTATGTCCCGGACACTTTTTAAACTGCTTTATATGAATTAACTCTTGTAATTCTCAAAAATTCACCAAAAGCAGTAATTTCTATTGACATCCCTATTTACAGATGATCAACATGAGCCATACAGAAGTTAAAAAAGTGGCCCATCATGCACACAGTCAGTAGGAAAATAAGAATTTATACTCAAGCAGCCTGTCTTCTGAGACTATCCTTTCATAGTTTGGCAAGATAGCATGCATTTCACTCAGGTTTTCTTTTATATTGCACAAACAACTGGGAAAGTGTTTAAATAATAGTCATTTTAATATCAGAATTAGTGGAGAGACATGTCCATAATTCTATGTCAAAAAAACAACTTTTTTAAGGAAGGAAACTTCTTCAGCAATGTTAAAAACACTCTCATAGCCTAGTGAGTATGGAAAAACATAATCCTATGAGGGATTTTGATGTGGCTTAAATTCTGGCCAATTTTCAGACCACTTTTCTGAGGTATTTTTAAGTTCCCTGGAGGCTCTTGTTTCTTTTAGTAATGTGACACTCCATCTACCCTACCCTTATTTTATGTTTCATCATTCAACAGAATGCAATACATTAATTCAAATTGTTGATCTGCTTTAGTACTTCATTAAAAAGATCAGAGTTTAAAATATTCCAGGGCAATCTTTTAGAACTGATAAAATGAAAAGCAGTTTACATTGTTAATATTTAAACTGTTTAATTCTGTACCTGTATTCCAAATCTCCTTGTCTTAGAAAGGATCAGATCTTCCACTGACAAATAATATTCTCTTTAGTTGATAGTTGTAAGCACACATTGATTTTTCTTTATTTTTGTCTAGCTCACTAGGGATAGAGCTCATACTACAGCATTTAAAATAATTCACTCACTGACAGGATAGTTCAAAAGGAAGTAGTAAGAGACTTTCATCATACTTGGGCCTCCTTAACTCACTTAGGAAGGATTTTCTATAATACAATCATATGCCTTTCTGTGTAGTACTTTGAAATTGTAATGGAGCTATTATTATCGTTGTTTTAAAATGATGTAAATTTATTTAGATTCCCTTAAAATAATTCAGTAAATTTAAAATTTTTATTTACAATATAATAATTGAAATTATAATTATCTGCTGAGTTGGCTAACTTAAAAATTATGATTTCAGGCAAATTACTTTATACTCGTAAGCTTCTATTTCCTCATGTATAAAACAAGGACATCTGTGTACACAAAATATAAAGGATAAAATATATAATGTACATGAAGCACTTTGCACACAGTGCCTGGCATATAGTAAAACGTAATAAATGTCAGCTACATATTATTACAACTTATTTTCAATAACTATTTAATAGGGAACAGTGATGATCAAGTTGAAGTATATAGTACAGAGATTAAAAGCATAGTTGTTTTAAATCCAAGTATAATTAATATATAGCTCTCTCTATTAGTTTCAGGCATACAATAGGATTTCCCTGATGAGGTAACAATATACAACAGAAAAAAGTCTTCAACAAATGGTGTTGGGAAAACTGGACAGCTACATGCAAAAGAATGAAACTCCTTACACAATATACAAAAATAAACTCAAAATGGATAAAGACCTAGACATAGAGACCTGAAACCATAAAATTCCTAGAAAAAAACATAGGCAGTAATTTGACATTGGCTACAGCAACATTTTTCTAAATATGTCTCCTGAAGCATGGGAAACAAAAACAAAACTAAACTATTAGGACTATACCAGAATAAAAAGCTTTTGCACAGCAAAGGGAACCATCGACAAAACAAAAAGGCAACCAACTGAATGACAGAAGGTATTTGCAAATGATATATTTGTTAAGGGCTTAATATCCAAAATACACACAGAACTTTATAGTTCAACACCAAAAATAAACAAAAATAATAATCCAGTGAATTCAGGCACAGGAACATGAATGGGCAGAAGTCAGGAATGCCAGAATAATGCTCTTTTCCAAAGACATACAGATGGCCAACAAACACGAAAACATGTTCAACATCACTAAAAGCATAGGTCTGCACTTTTTTTGCATGAGCTCAGGCAAGATCATTTGCCTTTTCTAAGTCTCCATTTCCTCTTCTGTAAAAGAAGATGATTGCATGAGAAGGGCTACTGAGGGGATAACATGAAAAATCAAGCATAATATCTAACTTAACAATCAAGGATATAATACTATTATAAATCAAAATAACCTATTATTTCTATATTTAATCACCTCCATTTTGAATTTCTGCCTGAATTAGCTCTTGTTTCAATTCTTCAATTTCCTTCTTTAATTTAGCATTTTCAACTCGAAGTTTCTTCTCTTCTCTCAAAGTTGCCTGCAAAACTAGGATTAATAAAATCTTAGTAAGATATAGCCATGTTTTCTATAAGTTTTCTTATAATACTACTTGAAGGGCATAGCTATATTAACATAATTAGGATAATACCAATAACCAAATGTTTGCCAATTCCTTTATACCATTTAGTATTTATTAGAAAACATGATAAAAGAGAAAAAGAGATTATCTGTGAAATAATGGACCAGAAAAGTTTGCTTATGAATCATTTCCTAGCTTCCATAAAGATGCTAACGACAACTTAAGAAACAGACTAAAAGTGTCAACCATAAACTATCAGCATGAGGCAAGTATTAGACACAGTTTTTTTAAAGCCAAGATCTAATAGCAAACCATAAAAAAACTATTCTTATTCTTTCTTTTTAATCATTGCCTTTTAAAAGTACCTGAATAATCTTTTACTCCTAATGTCTCAGACTGAGCTGGCCAAACGTTCAATGAGTGAAATAGCATCAAAGATTTCCTCAAAATATGATATGTGTGCTAAAGGTGAGCAATAGGGCATACAAAAGAATAAAAGAAAACCAATGATTCTCAGTGCGATTGATACTGCTCCCTAGATAGGACTTTTAAAATCTGTGGGGGTATTCTTGGTTGTCACAAATAATAGAGTCATGTCGGTCATTTAATGGGCAGAAGTCAGGAATGTCAGATATCCTGAAATATGCTAGATACACCTCTGAAATAATAAGCTGTCTCACATTCTGCAGAATTTTCTAGTAACCCATTGTACATTTGTGTAGGTAAAAATCCTGTTATTTGAGCCTGGACTCTATTTTTTATATATAAACACAAAATATTATTAAACATTTTCATTATACCCTGAATTTTCTATAAATCAGGTATCATATAAATCAAGAGCAGACTGTACTTTGTTTTGTTCACAGTTTTCCCTAAGAATTATCCACCATTCTGAGTAAATAAATAGCACAACTGAAAGTTGCTTCTGGCATCAGACTTGCCTACATAAAGGCAGACTAAATACACACTCATACCAATTAGCATTTCTATTGCATTCTTGGTGATTCCATGTATGGGAACCACATTGCATATGACTCTCTCATATGGCTGGTAGGACAGTCCTGCCTAAGTATTTACTCATTAAAATGCATATTTTTATTATTACTACTATTTATAAATTTATCCTAATCCCAGAATATCATTTTACTCAAAATGAAAATATTAAAGGAATCTAAAAGTTATGATCAAGATGATGAAGTATATTTATGGGGTAAACACAGTTTTTGTCCTGTCAACATAGGAATTCATTTTAAGTAACTTCTTCAAAAATGCAAAATCTTACTTGCTTTCTCCTTAAGAAGAGCAACTTGCTGCTTTAAATATTCAATAATTTGATCTGCTTCTGCACCCTTCTGTTCCAGTCTCTTCAGAACAGTACCATTAGTTGCCATTTTTGCCAAGAAACGGCAGAAAATCCTAAGTGAAAAAAATAAGTGGTAAATAACACTGTAGAAGGAATAAATTTATTGTACAGGACAGTATAAGTAAGGAGTCTGAAAGGAAAACCATCTTCTACTCTAACAGATCAATACACTAGGAAAAACACTTTTCCTATACACAGCAATAAACCAAACAAACGGCAGAAATGTTAAACAACTAATTCCTCAATATGTTTGGAAGAGGCAATTTTTTTCCCTAAATGCAAAAAAGATGTTATTTAACCACATTTTAGGTTGGAAACCTTTAAAATACAGCTGAATAAAAAATAAATAAATAAATAAATAAATAAATAAATAAATAAATAAATAAATAATAAATAATAAAATGCAGCTGAATAACATGACAAAACAAAAATACTAAAAGAATAACAATAACCTTAACTAAACTATAAGTGTTCCAAAGTTAAGAATTGCTGAATTCCCTCTTTATATGTTATTTTTTGTATACTGGATATTTCTACTGTTTATTTAACTATGTACAATTTTAAGAAGAAACACATGAATTAGGAGAGAAGAAAAATGTCATCAATTAAGAACATATCAATATTAATGACATGCCTACTCAGAAATGTCAGCATATATACTGTGACCCTTGTAAAAGTTATGATTTTAATTTTATAATAATCCATAGAAATTAGAAAACATCCTGTCAGTATGCAGAAAAATGCATATAAGCAAACATTCTGAAGTTAGCTCACAATGTTAAAGTTTAAACTGCTATTAAATAGTAACACTGACAAAAAGATTAATCATTAATACTACAAATTGTTCTTTTTTTACCTGTTTAGCTTCAATTTATAATACAAAATGTAATGAGACAAACGTTGCTGAAGTAATTCTGACTTTAAACAAGTGATATACAATAAAATGGTGAAATTTTTTGATAAAGGAAAAAATTGGCTAATAATGAACAAACACAAGATCGTTTGAACATTTCAAATTATGCAATATCTATAAAAAAGAAGATTCTGAAATGTTTACTTTTTAATGAAAAAAAGAACCAATTTTCAAAAAACTTTATGCTAAAGTTGACAATTTATAATACAGAATCACTAAAAAAAACTGAAAAAAATAAAAATGGTAGTAAGTGAAGAAAATATAAATGAAGTTAATCTGCAAAAGTACATAGTAAACTGCTCATTTTCTATATGAGCTATTATTTAAGTTTAAAAAAATACAGGCAAAAAAAAAACAAAAATTGAAAATGAAGATAACCAGCTTTATATTTAGCCAATTTTTACAACATGAATACTGAATATTGTTATTGTTCCTCAAATGTTGTTTTAGAATTTTAGAGAAAAATACAAATGAACAGATGAAGAAAGTTAAAGTAAACAAACAAACAAACAAAAAAGCTATGTTCTTCTGGACTTTTAGTATCCTCCTTACAGCATTCTTTTAGTTTAATGTCTTTATATTTTAGTCTAACATAGCAATCAAGTATACTCAATATGTGAAAATAGCTATCCCTAGAAAAGTAATGAGTATTTGATTTAGCATAATTTGTTAGCTTTTATTTTTATAGCAAAGAAAAATTTGATATTAAAATAAATGTGATCTTAATGATATGCTTTAGAAAAATCCCTGGTAAATAACTGATAAGAAACAAATGGATTTTTTTTAAGATTTTATTTATTCATGAGACAGAGAGAGAGAGAGAGAGAGAGAGAGAGAGAGAGGCAGAGACACAGGCAGAGGGAGAAGCAGGCTCCATGCAGGGAGCCCGACGTGGGACTCAATCCCAGGTCCCCAGGATCAGGTCTTAGACTGAAGGAAGCACTAAACCGCTGAGCTACTTGGGCTGCCAGAAACAAATGGATTTAAGTGTAAAATAGCTGTTGTGAATTTGCCAATGGGTACAAAGTCATCTCACAAGTATCAGCTAAGGTGGTAATAAAGCAAAACATGAAATTCGTGTCCTGACTCACATAAAAAAAAAATCTCAAAACTAAGACTTACAATAATTCACAAAATAGAGATCATGAAACCTAGGCTAAGGGAAAGAACAGATACAATCTCACTGAGTTGATAAATCTATTAACTATCTGCAAAATACAGTTATAAAAGTGAGCTGTAAATATTAAACACATACATAGAGCCACTAAGAAGAACCAGTAAGAGGAAGTGGTAATACTTTGAATGATAGTGATGAAAAATGTGTACCTCTATATTTTATATATTTATTAAGTATATAAAAGGAATAAAATTTATATATTTGGCTGTAACTCTACAAATACATAGATTAAGGTCTAGCTCTAAACTGTGAAATAAAACTAGGATTGAGAAATGTTATCACTTGAAATATTCAGTAAACGTGGATTCATTTTTAGCCAAAGTATATAAATAAAACATGAAAAATAAAGGAAAAACATGTTAGTAAGAAAGAGAAATGTTACTGAAAAACATACTTAAGCCATGAAGGCATTTAAAAAAAAAAGATTTTATTTACTTATTTTAGAGATAGAAAGTGCGGAGCAGGGTGTAGTGCAGTGGGAGAGAGACAGAGCCTGACGTGTAGCTCCATGTCACAACCCTGATATCAAGACCTGAAGCAAAATTAAGAGTCTGATACTTAAAGGACTACGGCACGTAGGAGCCCTATATGCCATGAAGTCTTAAAATGTTGAGAACAGAGAGAGAAGACAGTGATCCTAATAAACCACTCAAATATATATATAAAATAATTGTGGAGGACAGAAGCCATCTCAAATTTCCTGATAGGTATTATTGGGTAATAATAATACCTACTGTTTCATTTGTCTTTAGTATTTGCCAGGTCCTTTCCTAAGCACTTCACAATATTAACTTATTTAATTACCACAACACCATGAGGTACATAAGGAACGTTCTCCTTATATAGAATACTATGAACTGTAGCTGAAAAATGACAGGCATCAAGCACAATTTTGGGAACACAAAAAAGGATGTATGTACAATCCCCACCTTTAAGAAGCTCACAGTAGTGTGGGTTCCTATAGGAATGATATTTTGTAGATCTTTAGGTATGATTTTTACATTTTCTTAAAGGTTAAGAACATAGCAAATAATGAAAATATAAATTATACACATTGATATTAAAAATATATTCAGATAATTTGGCTAAACACACCGGTTTTTTTTTTTTTGGAATATTTATTGGAGTTCAATTTGCCAACATATAACACCCATTGCTCATCTCATCAAGTGCCCCCCTCAGTGCCCATCACCCAGTCACCCCATTCCTCTGCCCACCTCCCTTTCCATCACCCCTTATTCGTTTCCCAGAGTTAGGAGTCTCTCATGTTCTGTCTCCCTCTCTGATATTTCCCACTCATTTTCTCTCCTTTCCCCTATAATCCCTTTCACTATTTTTTATATTCCCTGTATCAAAGAAACCATATAATGTGGCTAAACACACCTTAATTTCTTTATGAGTGGTATACAGTCTATGGGGGTGATACTATATTTACATTAATTCTAAATTTTGTGTTTATAATAGTATACAAAATAAATCCAAGGACTCCTGTCCAGGGGAATACAATAAGACAACAGTCAACTGAAAAATCTTTGTCCCTTCCCCTAGGAATAGATACTGTCATAATTACAAAAACTCTAAAGTAACACTTAATATTATTTAAACAAATGGTACACAAAGAAGGAACACTCAGTGATATATAGATTTCACTCTGAATGCTTTGTCAAAGCCTTCAAAGGACTAATAGTAATAGTTCCCAGCTTTAGCTCAGAAGGCAAAACAATCCAGCAAGAGCCATACATACCATTTTGCCAAAGGCACAAAGTGGCTAAGAATACCAAGAGAAAAATTGTTTTATGAAAATGACGTAAGATGTTCTGGTTTAAGGATGAGAAAAAAATTAAAATTCACTGTATACTTTCTGCTCAAGTTTGCTGTGAATTTAAATCTGCCCTAAAAAATAAAGTCTTTAAAAAATGCACTGAAATCACAAACTTAAGAGTGTATGAATTTAAGACCTGAATATACTGTACTTCCTAATTACTTATGACAAAGTCTGGTTATGCAATAACCAATAATTTTCCAAAATTTATACTGATAGGTTATTTCTAATACCTTAACTGCCACAATATCAACAAAAATACTACAAAGGAAGCCTCATTAAAAGAAGAGAGGACTTTTGCTTGCAGTCATTTTTCTCGTAATAATCGTTTTCTTGACAAAATAAAACAAGAATGACTCTAAAACACACTAGTTGTTAACCAGTGTCTACTTTTTCTTTATTTTACTTTTTAATAATAAATTTATTTTTTATTGGTGTTCAATGTGCCAACATACGGAATAACACCCAGTGCTCATCCCGTCAAGTGCCCCCCTCAGCGCCCGTCACCATTCACCCACACCCACCGCCCTCCTCCCCTTCCACCACCCCTAGTTCATTTCCCAGAGTTAGGAGTCTTTATGTTCTGTCTCTCTTTCTGATATTTCCTACCCATTTCTTCTCCCTTCCCTTCTATTCCCTTTCACTATTATTTATATTCCCCAAATGAATGAGACCATATAATGTTTTTCCTTCTCCGATTGACCAGTTTTTGAATGGATGCTTGTATTGCGATGTATTTCCCCCTTAGGACTGCTTTTGCTGCATCCCAAAGATTTTGAACAGTTGTATCTTCATTCTCATTAGTTTCCATGAATCTTTTTAATTCTTCCTTAATGTCCTGGTTGACCCTTTCATCTTTTAGCAGGATGGTCCTTAACCTCCACGTGTTTGAGGTCCTTCCAAACTTCTTGTTGTGATTTAGTTCTAATTTCAAGGCATTATGGTCTGAGAATATGCAGGGGACGATCCCAATCTTTAGGTATTGGTTCAGACCCGATTTGTGACCCAGTATGTGGTCTATTCTGGAGAAAGTTCCATGTGCACTTGAGAAGAATGTGTATTCAGTTGAGTTTGGATGTAAAGTTCTGTAGATATCTGTGAAATCCATCTGGTCCAGTGTATCATTTAAAGCTCTCGTTTC